TTGAATTTTGAAATTTGGATAATTTCTTACTAAAGGAACGGAAACCCAAATCTCCTGATTTCAATTCAATAGTTTACAATTTTTTTCTCTAGCTGACAACTGTAGTCGTAGAAAGTTTGAGAAAATGAAATTTAGAATGAAAGAGAAATAGAATGAAATACCTCCTGATAAACAGGAAAAATAGGTGATATCAAAATGATACATGTCGGCGTTATATTTTTTGATAAATATTTTTAAAAAGCCTGTTTTATCGAAATGGTTCGATCTATAAAGTTGGTATTTGGTTTTATTAAAGGGACATATGCGCGATTTTGGGGGGTTGATTTGAATCTTGAATATATATGTAAATAGTCTTCAGGAGTACTAGAAATGTACGAAAATCACATAATTCCTTTAAAGATACTTCAAACTAGAAATTTTACTCACTATTTCTATATATGTCTTTTCTATATATCAAAGAGTAGGCTATCTCAAATTGACGACTCGTCATTTTAACAATCAAACGCATGGACACATATGGATTTGAAATCATAAATTTCAATGGTGAGCTGTGAACACTTTTACTGATTAGCTCAGCTAAAAAATTCCAGTTCTGAGACTAAAGTGAAAATGGTCTACCTGTCCCTTTAAATTCTTATAATCATGAGGTCAAAATATTATTGTCTTAGTTTGACTCTTTATGAATAGTCTTGAAATTAAAGTTTTGTATGTTTTTATTTAATATATTAGTCTGGTATTTATAATGATCGAACTTCTTTTTGTAATGAGGAACTAGTAATGTGGTACCTTTTACATACTAGGCGTGTTTTAGTTTTAAAAAAAAACAGGTCCGAGACTTGCTGATTTTTACGCGTACGTCGTATACGTCTATATATATTAACAATGTTGTCCGCTACTGTACAACTGCTCTTGTGTCAGACCTCTAATAAAGATATATTCACTACTGACGGTGAGAGAAGAATCAGTGAAATATCGATAATGTTCATCTAATTAAGTTAGAGATGACTGGGCTTTATTTTTTTCCATTTTAACTACCTTACTTTCGACAACGACATTTCTAATATATATACAGCTAAGGTTTCCGTCCACGAAGTCAAATTTCCATCCATCCATACAGTAAGGTAGTGGTTACGTACAAATCTAATAGCTAACATTCGATAATAAAATACGAACGGAATTAAGGTCTCATTTTAATTAGACTGTCCCAAAATATGTGTCAGATTGCACCAAATTCATTTTTTCAAAAATTTTCTTACGGAACCCTATCCGAGACTTTCCATTAAAGGCTTGCACATATGGATCTTCCACAGATCTGCCGCATTTGGAATCTCAACCTCGACACTTAGCCCCATGAAGTCAGTCTGCCCTCTATTCGTACCCCTAGCCTCAGGGGTCCTTGACTAAGTCATAAGAATGATCGTGTTCAACAAACTAGTAGATTGTGATACATGGTAGGTCAGCATCCATTGTTTTAAATTACCTTAATAATATACCTTTTTAATATAATTGCTCATACCTAAATAAGTAAACATGATCATAATATTATGGTAATTGCATATCCACAATTTTGGTGCATGGTTTCAAACACAATTTAGCATTGCCTTCTCAGCAACATTTAGTTGTCGGATTAAATAACTTTTTATGAGTGTCGTAATTCGTAATACACAGAATGTCGGAGTGTTTTAAAACTGACATATCAGCAGGAAATCAGTCGGGACCAAAAAGATGTCGGATTGCGCAGAATGTCAGTGTTGGTGATGAGAACGTAGTCTTATGAAAGCACTGATCTAGGTCACAAAGTAAAGATTTATGATAAAACAAGGTACAAATTAAAGGTTTAGATAATTAGATTATCTCTGTAATATGTCGGGGTAACCTACTCAGATATCGAATATTATAACAGAGTATACTACATGTATATGTTAATAAGCTTATATTCCCAAAGGCTGATTTATGTAGGGCATAAATTTATGCGAGCGGTCACCTTTAAAATGTTAGAGCTGAAATAGAGAGGAAAGTAATTTATCAATATGTATCACCTGGGACTACTTTTCTGTCTGAAGTAAAAACAACAGACATGATATTTTGCTCGAGAGAGTCATTTGAAAACTGAGCAGCAATAATGTTTCATGTAGGGAAATCTACACGTTTATAAATTGTGTATATCTTGTACTTTAAGCTGTCATGAACAGATATTGAAAAGATCTCATCTTCACAGTGCCAAGCTATAAATGCGTCTTATACCTTGGATTCATTAGCCAATTGTTTTGTAAAGGTATCGATTTGATTGGAGAGTTCTATTGCGAATACAGCCAACGAGAGCATCCAACAATCAATTAACTGTAGTTTTTAGTTTTTATGCCAATGGCCCTGATTGATTGTAATCGCTAGCGTATAATCCAATCAAACCAATTCACTTGCGTGATACCTTTAGGTGGCTATTGTAGTCAAGGTATAGACGCAGTGTGTAGGAGCTTGACATTTTAAAGCTAGTAGAGCCTGTCAATAAGTATTTATATTCATCTATGGAATGTTTTATACCCGTAAAGAGAGATGCAATACATGGAGGTACAAAGTACACCAACCAATATCCTAATTCCTTAAAAGGATATTATTATATATTCATCAGTTGGACTTACCAGGTGTCATGACTAAACAATGGAATCGCTATATGTGACTAAGAATGTTTCAAAATTACTTAGTTTAATGAATTATCACTAACCGAAATTTTCCAATAGCCAGCAATTCTCTTACTCATTGCACATTATATACAATACACTGTCTTCCAATTTAGTCATTAAACGGTATTCACCATTGGTCATGTTTGCTATTTGTAAGAATAGATAGATGAATACACTGATACAGAGATTACGACTGTATTAAGCTGATTTGGTTGTATATATCGACTTGGCTCTCATCAATATAAAGTTAACTTTTACTAATGATCTTATAAAAGCAGTAAATGGGGCTAATTTATCACCTACATATAGAAAGCTTTTAAATCTATTAGGTTTTAATATAACATTATTAATTTCAGATTCCTGTCGATATGTCGGATGATGGAAAACTTTTCAAATTATTTTCTTTCAAGATGATTCTTTCCACACAAATAAACTCTGAAGTGATGTCTACACCGAATAAAATAGTCTTTCTCAAGCTAGCAAGGTTTTTCTTTCATGGTCGTTTTAATCAGTCGACATCTGGACTTGATACAGCAGGCCGGAATTCTAAAAATCATCGTAACGTATTACAATTATTGACGACCACAACTTTCAGCGAAATATTATGTATCAATGAATCTAATTGGTCGAGAAAAACGTCCAGACCAATCAAACTAAGTGACGAGTATATCATAGTGTTGCTATATCAAGGGCTAAGATTCCATCAATCTCGTATGCGTTGTTGATTTATTTTAAAGTTAGCTTGGATCAAAATTAACTTTTGTGTCTATGTTGTTTCCGAAAAAGAAAAAAATATTCGTCACAATCGTTATACTCATTGCTAACAATGCTTCGCAAAGACCAAACTACAATATACTGCTTAGCATAATTTTCATTGAAACCTGGCTACATAGTATTGTAGCGACAGATGAAACATCTTAAAGATGGGTTCCCCTATTTTCACTTATGAAAATGAAAATGTCAATACTTATATGAATAGAAAGTAGAGGTGTTCTTATGACTTGGAAAAATACCAGTTTGTCTCACATATCCATAAAGAAGAAGAATTAAAGAAGAAAATTACAAGCAGAATTCCAATGAGTGACCGATCAAAAAAGATCAAAAAGTTTTGTTTTTTGTTTATCCAGACTGTACATACATGGACATTTATGATTGGTTAAAACTCTTAATTATATGCAATAAGAACATAATGATATGATTAAGAATACATGATAATGCATTAGAAACACCAATTAATCAAATAGTTTGCTAAATTTGACACTCAATAATATGGAAACCCATCTTTAAAAATAGAAATCATATAAGGTTAAGACAAGCAATTCATTTACACATTTTGCAGACTTATTATTTAAACTTATGCCATGGAGTTATAACTACTTTGTTTGGACCTTGGCATTTCATTTAAAAGTAAATTGAGGCTTGAAATGTAAATAACTGACTACACGGCCTCTTGAAGATGTAATACTGATAATAGAGAATAATCGAGTGATAATTTGAAGGATAATGCTATAATAATTAAATGCTCAATATATATGAGAATTTCTGAAACCTTGACATCTTATTAGAAATAAACAATTCTGGTACTATTATTCGTGATAAAAAGGTCACTGGGGTTCAACCTTAATCAAATATTAATTCCTACAGATGACAATCAAAAGATTTTCGGGGAATGTTTAAAGCAGGCTACCATGAAATTTATTCATTGCCTATTGTGGTTTTGTTTGACAAGACAGTTGTCATCATGGTGTTCAGTGCGTTTCTCTTTTTTTTTTTTTTTGCTTTTCCCCATTTTGCCCGGGAGTTTTAAAGGTATACTACCTCTTAGGATGACCAAAAAATGCAAAGTTTTAAACATGGTTTAAATGAGCTTTGAAGCGTGTTTCAATGATTATTTAGCTTAATAGATAATCGTTTTATATAGAGATTCAATTGTTTAGTCATGACACCTGGTAAGTCCAACTGATGAATATATACACTTGTTAACCAAGTTTGAGAATTTAAATTTTATTTCCATTTTAAGTTTTCTAGTCTTTGTGTAAGTATTTGGTACACTTGTGGCTTCAATTTGCTCCATTCCCATTCCGTTTGATGACTGCTGGTCCTTTTATTCTAGAACAATTGGCCAAATAAGATGTCACTATCGAAAAAAAAACCATTTGGCTCGAATCGAATGACATTAATAATGTGATAGTGACGACATAACCTAGACATGAATTTTATTTATTGCCGGAATCACATAAGTCGGAAGAGAAATAGGTTTGGTGAAAATGGAAGCTATAAGTGTACCCGATACACACATATACAGGCTAGAAAACCTCTTTATAATCTCTTTAAGATTCCCTGTGTCTGTCTGGTTGATAACGTTGTAAGACCTCTGTACATCTAAGAAAATAAATACATATAATATATATCGTTATAACTTTCAAAAATTATTTTGTGTATGTACTAACCAGCGCATGCAGGCGAATGTAGATGGACATGTTTTACTAGTACCTAACCTTTCTTTTAAATATCACGTAAGGTTGAAAATAGAGAACCAAATTGATTTTCCACAATATTTGCAGATATGAGATAAACGAAGCAGTACATTTCTATAACGTCGAGAATCACAATTGAGTTGAGGAACTGTTTTTACTGACGTATTAACGTGAGTCGTAGACCTTTCTCGCCGTGAAAGGTTGAGAATTTAAAAGCAATTTGATTTTCTGATATCCTTGCAGCTATCAATTAGATGAATTGATGAGTTTATGTAGAGATAATGTTGTTTATTATCCAATTGGAAATAGAAGATTACTCCGAACAATCCACGTCATGTCGATTGTCTTTCTATAAATATCCTATGGGAGTAAAACATGCGAACAGTGCGTTTAGAAGATTACATCTTTTTTTTTTCATTCATTCAATTTTCAAATCAATTCTAATTTTCTGCTATACTTTCAGGATTGATGGGAACCGTGAAAATGTGAAGTGATGTTTTTTTCAGAGAAAGAGGGTTAATTCTGTTATTGTTAAGCCGGTAGGATTTACTACAAATCTTAACTGACGCTATGGAATAAAGACAAGGCGAGGCGTGATGTGAAAGGAAGTGATGAAGGAATAAAGATAGGCTTGTTATGGACGATAATTAGATTTTTATCGACAAAAACATCAGCGGTGAAGCAGTAAAAATACAATTACAGGACCTAATTATATTCTATTAGATAAACACAGTGTGATTTACAGGTATTTTCTTACAGTGTAGCCTATGCTCGGCCGGTTCTTGCAGTGATCGTATTGAATTTAATTACAGTGTACGCTCAGCCAGTTCCTACAACGGTTATATTTAATTTTCTTACAGTATATACCACTCAGTTCCAGCATAGGTCGAATTGGATTTTCTGTCATATTGAATTTACTTACAGTGTATGCCCGGCCAGTTCCTGGATCGGTCGTATTGAATTTAATTATAGTGTATGCCCGGTCATTTCCTTCAGAGGCCATATCGAATTTACTTAAAGTGTATGCCCGGTCAGTTCCTGGATCGGTACTATTAGATTTAATTGCAGTGTATACCCGACCAGTTCTTGCAACGGTCATATTGAACTTACGTACAGTGTATGCCCGGCCAGTTCTTGCAACGGTCATATTGAATTTACTTACAGTATATGCCCGGTCAGTTCCTGCAAAGGTCATATTGGATTTTCTTACATTGTATGTACGGCCACTTGCTGCAAAGGTCGTATTGGATTTTTTTAGTTGTGTTGGTAATGCTATTACATCATCAGCAGACGTCTATACTGATCAGTTATATATGCGGTTTACTTTGATTGGACCTGCGATGCTATTTTTAATTGTATAAGATATTTATATCAAGGCTGTTGCAGGTTGTGTTTTGATTTACTCTGATTGGACATGGGATGAGTTGGGAATACTCCTACAAATAGATAACTCTCTACAAAGCCTTTTAGTGGTTGTGTTTTTGCAACGGTGGTATTGGATTTTCTACGATTGGAGGTGAATTGAGTCTGGCTTCAACTGTGATAGCGATCGTTTCCGAATTCAACAGTGTTTGCGAAAAAGTTGTACTTCATTACATTACATACAGCGATCTGATGTAACGCCGATTTGAGTTTCATATTGATAAAATTGCTAAAAGTTTAGACAAGATTTCTCAAATCTCGACCATGTTGTCACAAACGTTTAGTTATCGACACAAATCATTAGAAATTCGATTATATCCGTCCAAAATTCATTTTACCAACTGTATTGAGACAAATAAGACAGATGAAACGATTATGGAGGAATTCTGTGAAAAGGTGGTTGAAAAAGGAGAGTATCCTCGATTACAGGTGACCCAAAAAGATGGAAAATATTTCACATTAAATAACACCCGATTACATTTATTTAAAAGATTACAAGAAATGGGATATTGTTCTAAAGTATATGTAGAAAAAATACCGCTATGTGATATACCGTGTGGTATTAGAGATATGATGACTGTTTCTGTCGAAGCTACGTTTAAACCCAAACGAAAAGGTAAGCCAATTTAAAGCTTAAATGAAATTACATTATTATTCTGTCTATAAATCTATAGTTTTGTCGTCAACTCACCAATGTAAGTGCAATTACCCGCAGAAAAATAATCAAACACCAAGATCTGCATTATAGACTGATTGCCGGTATGCGTACACGCCTGTACGAGTAAAGCAGAATTTACCAGCATATAGCATAGTAAGTGGCATCAGACATGTAGATGTGAGAGAATTAATCATGAAGATGAAGAAATAGTTTAGGGAACCGTAGTTTAACCAGGTGATTATCTAAATAAAATGAGCGATGATGGGGGTGGGGGGGGGGCACTTTTAACGTGTATGTTGTTATTGTAAGGAAATATAATGGTGTATTAGATTATTGCGCTTTTCCGTTTAAAATCAGACTTCCTGTTTGCTCACAATAAACTGATTTACTATAAACTAAGTTACTAGCAGTCGTCTAGAGGTTTTCTATTTATGGGAATGGAAAATGAAATGAATGGAGTTTTACGTCCTACTTTTCTGCACAATGGGAATGGAAATGATGGTCTGGAATGTAGATATGTATTTTATTGTGGTCACTTCGATGAAAGCAGTTCGTTTTAATGCTAAATTGAAAACAAACCTGGTGTCTGATATTTATTCTGAAAAGAGACAATTCTGGTTACTCCAATAATTATTTTATTTAATTGATTGACGAGGGTTGTTTTTGGGTGATAAAATGTCTTCAGAAGTAGGTCTACTAGAACTGCACAAAAATCGCATAATCCCTTCAAATATGCCTCATAAATTCTATTTTCTATGATATGTCAAACCCGGATAATCATCAAAAACGTCGTAAATTATACCTGAAAATATTCCTAACGTATGCTATTTATATCTATGTGTCTTTGATCAAACTGAATTTGTTTTAAAAGAAAGGGTTAATTAAAAACTGAAAATACTAATTATTAATTAAGAAGTTTAACCTAGTTTCGGTGATTGGCTTTATATTTTGTTGAAATCTTTAGAAAACTTAGGCGTACTAAGAGAAATATTTCTCCACAATTAGGCTTTAATTTTACTCAAATCCGTACAGTATTTAACAGCTTCCAAAAAGCCTAACGAACTTTAAAAGATTACGTAACCTTTTACGTAAAGTCTTGGCATATAAAAACAGCTGGATTTTTTTAGTTAAAACCTTCAGAAACGTTATGGGATACATTTCTACAGATTTTCGTTTAAAGTTTTCACAAATTTGAACAAAAATATTTTTCAACCTACAAAATAAAAAAATCGGAATGTCCCTTTAACTTGGTTTGGCCACATTAAGTTTAGCCTCCTTTTTAACTTCTCTTATACAACCCAGCCGAGGCCCCGTGTGCTACAGACTGTGTACGTTAAAGATCCCCCGACAGTTGGAAATCTGGCAAAATTTCCCTCATGGCACCCTGCATGGCGTTGCCCGTCTTTATTAGCCCACAAGGTCCAGAAAAGTAGGCCGTAAAACTCCATTCATTTCATTTCATTTCTTATACAACCTAGAACATTTTAGTGTTAATTGCCTTCTTTCAGTTCATAATGTTCCACATATTGTCTTTCCTCTAAGGGCAATGTACGTATTAAGATCGGCTTGCAAGCATCAATTTGTCAGTGTAATGTGTTGTTGAACGTGACGGTCTGAGCCAGGTATTAGTTTCCGATCGAGTTACTTCATGGAATTACTTTCTGATTAGAGAAATATGAAACTGTCAGAAACAATTTAGCTCTTAAACATTTCGTGCAAGAAGTAGGTCTTGCTCGATTACACCCTTTAATTTCTCTATGCGCTGGGGAAATCAAAAATGAAAGCGCTAAACCGTATTACTTGAAATGTATTCGAATTTGATCTGCTTAAGTGATTTCTTTCTGCAGTGAAAAGAAGAGGTTACTGTCAAATACATCAAAAGGAAAACGAGAAATCAGATAGTGAATCATCAACAGATGAGGAAAATGAAGACGAGACAGGGAGCGACAGTGAATTTGGTGAGTATGTGAGGTTTTGTTTCAGCTAACAACTGTCGGGACTCTTTTCTGAAACTGATTGGGGGAGGGGGGGGGGGGAGTTACCAGCCACTTCTGGGGTGTATATTGAGAAAATTATATCCCTGAAAGGGGTTGTAAAGAGGTCTTCTAAAAATGTGTATCAGGGACACTGATAACATCAATTTGCACCATTACAATTTTCAATCAGACGTTTGTGGTTCCTGCAATTCCACAAAACCCAAGTGTTTTATGACGTCACTGATAAGCTTTATCACATGAGACCCTTCGCGATAAGTGACGTCATCAAACGCTGAGGAACCACAGACGCATAATTGAAAATTCGAATGGAGCAAATTAATGCTATCAATATCTTTGATACATATATAATTTGCTAGAAAACTGCTTTAAAACTTCCTTTAAGATCTAAACGCTTCGATTTTTGTAGTATGCCTACTAAAGGTCATATTATATTGTCTGTAAGTTTGTGACCCAAAATTCTTTCATTGAGTCAGTTGATCAATCTGTTACCCTTTTGGGCATAGAAAAAATTCATCTAGAACCAGTTTTTATATTATTGTCACTGTAATTGTATTAATGGAATTTTTATGCGTATCGGGGACACACACATCGGGAGGTTTTCTAAATTTCTCTCTGAAAGCATCAATTTGCGCATTCCAATTTTCAATCAGAATTCGATGGTTCCCGCAATTCAACTAAAACTTAGTGTTTTATGACGTTTTTATGAGATGAAGCATATATTGCGATAAGTGACGTCATCAAACACTTAAGTTTTAGAGGAATTACAGAAACCACAGAAATCTAATTGAAAATTGGAATGGCGCAAATTGATGCTTACATAATTTTTTTAGAAAACCTCCTTACAATCCCTTTAAATACGAAGAAAAACATTTAATTCTTCATGCGAAAAGGCTACGTGAATCAAAAAAGCTTTCAAATGTAATAATTTGGCTGCATCAATCCTCGGTACCTTGACATGGTTTTTATGTTGTACCAAATTTCAGTTATTATCAAGGCGCATTTATTTCCCCAATGCAATAAAAAAAATTGTATGTAAATAAATAGTGTAACACTCAGCTTAAATGTAACTCAGCATGTCAAATAAGTCGAAATATAAGTCTGAAAGCTTTCTAACACAAATCTAGAAAAATATCAACTTAATATTCAATTTGTGTAATAAAGCAATTTATTCCATATCTAAAACTAAATAGGTTTCAGCATAAATTCTTATTATGGTTATGTAATTGGAAAGAGAGAGTGGCGTCTATCTAATAATAAATAATGGTATGAAAAGAAACTCCATATAACAAACCTACAAACTTTCTCCAACAAATTTGATTGTGTGTATAACATATAAAGTATTCGGTTAAGTGATTAAAAATATAGTTGGTTTTGACGACGTTTTTTTATGATATCTTATTAGTAATCTTTTATAGTTGTAATAAGTATTTATAAACACACAAAATTATCCTGTGCAAAGGCTCGTATATTATGTTCGTAGTGTTGAAAAAAAAAACTAATTTGCGACTTCATTGCAAAGTCGAACGATCTAAATTTACGAATTCTTAAAGGTATACTACCACTTAGGATGACAAAAAAATTTAATTTTCAAACTTGGTTAAAATGAGTCTTTGTTCATTGGTGGACTTACGTAACAGAACCCCCTTATAATCCAATAATTCCATAAAACTAATAAGTCATTAAACAAGTAAATTTGAATCATGCTTAGAAGTTTTATATCGTTTTATATAGAGATTCTATTCTGTAGTTATGGCACCTGTTAGTCCAACTGATGAATATATACACTTGTTGACCAAGTTTGAGACTTCCATTCTAAGAGGTATAACATACGATCTTTATCAAACGTTGTTTACTCTGTGATAAATTCACACTACGATTCGAGAATGATTTTTGTGAACTAGACACTGAATATGACATAATACATAACAGTTTCCTTCATGACGATAAGATAATGTACACATACACGAACTAGATGCTGTAGTGTTATTCTGAAAAGTAACATCAGTGATTGTGAAATATTTCGACGGTATAATTTAAGTTCTCAATAATACAGAAAATAGAAAGGAATTAATGCAAACCCAGTCAAAGTGATAACAATATAATATAATGCTTGCTAGATTCTTGATTATTGGGGAATTTGCATTTTGGCATTTTGATATATAACTCGATTTTAAATGTAAACATGATAAATAGCTTGAACCGAAATCCAATAATTAGTCTTAATTTTCTATAACATAAAGAGGCATTGTGAATATTTCAGATTGTATGTCTATTGAAGAATTCATTTCATCCTCGGTATAATCACATTATATGGATGTGCTTGCAATTACATACGTGAAGGCATGTAAAAGAGGTTTTAGATAACGTCTATTATACTATTCCCATTTCTAATTACACGCCTGTAGTTGTTGTAATTCCAGAAATATTTGACTAGATTTTGACATCACTTACGCAAATACCACAAAAAGACGGTAAGAGCAGACTAACGTAATATGACATCACTTACCTAAATAGTTCGTACGAAATTAATTTCGGTCTTTGATTTGTAAATAAGATATATATATATATATATATATGTAAAGTTATATAGGGACGTAGGCTGAAAAAGGTCAGTAAGTTGTCTGAAAATCGCTGAATAACATGTTTCAGGTTCAATTTAATATTTAAACGAATATATCATATAGAATATAATACCCACACAAAAAAGGAATTGTCAAAAGAAAATAGTGCTATTCTCGATAAATCACTTTGTTTTAATATATTTTTTTAGATGACACAACGGAGGAAGAGGAAGAAGAAGAATATGATGATGAAATTTATCCGGAAAATTTAGAAGAACCAACAAATGTTACGGAGGAAGAGAGTTTATTATGATCAGTTTTAAAACAAAACGTATTCACAACCAGTGCGTCTCGTGCTTAGCTCGGCGATAACAAACGTGTTTCTCTGTTTCTACATAATAACTTTATTTCAGCATGGTGGTTTCATTTGTTTAAGTCGGGTTGGTATTAAATACAATCACCCAAACACATCAATCTACTCAACCGGAAGTAAAAAAGAATCAGTGATTCAAACTTTACAAAATAAAGCTATATAATCCACTTTTGATGGTATTGACGTCGATTATTCCTCAATGTTCTTAGATATAACCAAAGAAAGAAAGCAACGGTATACAGATGATGACCTTGAATTCCGACAGAAACTTACAGGAACGGGAGCAACAGACATTGGAAGAGTGCAATGCTACAATCTGTCAACATGATTCCCATGTCTGTGACTGTGTATCAGAACCATTTCATGGCAGATGATGCGTTGCAACAATTTGATAAAAAAAACCAAAAATCGAAAATATTGCAATTGTTCACAAAGATATAAGATGACGCTGTGGTTTATGGGAGAACACTATTTTTAAGTTGGTCTATATTATAATAATACAAAGCCTCACAAAACCAAACTTGTTTTGTAACATCATTAATAATCAATCAATAATAATGTTCACAGCTCACCATTGAAATTTGAGCCTTCAAATCCATGTGTGTCCAGAATTATTCGCGTTTGAATGTTAAAATGACGACTCGTCAATTTAAGATACTCTGTGATGTATAGAAATTCCTAGTTTGTTATAATTTTAAAGGGAATATGCGATTTTCGTACATTTCTAGTACTTCTGAAGACTATTTACATAAATTAGAGACTCAAATCAACCCCTCAAAATGGCGCATCTGTCCTTTTAAAAACATCTTTACTGATATGACATTAATTGTTATTAACCTTGTGTATTCTTTGACTACTACTATTTTATTGCAGCCGAATCATACGTCGGATATTCATTCTGAAAAGTAGCTTAGAATGGACCCTCAGGTGGTATGGCAAAAGTTCACGGCTTATTTACATTAAGACACTTAACTATGTGATAATGTTCAGATCAATCCCTCTGAGTGATATCACTCCTTTCACGTATTCCAGTGTTTTTAATGATTTTGTGGAAGAATGGTCTAATCGTTGTTAATTGGACCACATTGACGATTCCATAATATATTTTAACCAATACAGTTTCATTTATTAAAAAACATTATGAAAAGACGTCTTCTTATTGAAATTCTTCTTATAAAGGGGAATTCCGCTTTTTTAAAAAGTTTTCACGATCAGAATAGGTCGTAAATTATACATGAAAATATTTCTTAAGTATACCATTTATGTATCAACTTCATCAAACTGAATTTGTTTTTTTAAAGGGTTAATTAAAAACGGAGAGTACTAATTATTAATTAAGCAGTTTGACATATTTTTTGGTGGTTGGCTTTACAATGGCTGGATAATATTGGTTGAAATCTTTAGAAAACGTAGGAGACATATTTCTCTCCATTTAGGCGTTTATTTTACTTTAGTTTTGGCGTTTAAAAATTAAAGGCTGGATTTTTTCAGTTAAAACATTCAGAAAGGGCAGATTTATCTTGACTTTGATGTTTAGTTTTCAAAAATTTGAGCAAAAAAAAATTTCGACCTAAGGAAAAACCCGAATGTCCCTTTGATCATTGTATCGACGTTTCCAAACCGAGATAAAAAAAAGTTTAGAGAGATATAAACGATATTATACTCTTGTCATCACGATTCAGTCATGTTAAACTCGAAACTTTCACCGCACGATTCAATACCAAGAATCCATAAAATGTAACATAACTTAAGTTGGTACCAGGGTAAGGGTGCTAATTATCTAAAGGACGCATAATTTAAAATCGTTGATGTTATTTTCCATTATCGTCAATTGAGAGTGTAATCATTGTTACTTTTAACTTATTCAAAAATAGCCGTATTTCTCCATATTATGACATCATACCAGTTTACCAATTGCATCTAAGTTTACCCATCACAGGCCAGATTACCCCTGTTTACCTATAACCAATTAGTCCAGTTTAATCATTACAACCCAGTTTTCCAATGACATCACAGTGTACCCATTACCAATTAAAAACATTACAGTCTAATTGCCACTAACGGGCCAGTTACCATTACACTCCAGTCTACCCATGGCACTCCTGTTCACCCATCGCCCATTAACCCTATTAAGCCTAATTTATCTATAACCGGTCACTGTTACATCCCGGTTTATCTACCACATCCCTGTTTACACATCATTTGATTACCCATGGCGCTAATTTTAACCCATTACCCAACAGTCTAGTTTATTCATTAGTAATCTCAGTAAAAAATTCCTACACAGGTTACCCACAACAGGTCACGTCCCTGCTCAGCCATTACCCATTAATCAAGATTATCCATTCCTTCACAGTTTACAAATTCCTTCACAGATTACCCATAACATGTCAGTTTACCAATTACACCAAGGTTCATTCAATAGTCTAGTTCACCCATTACAGCCTAGTTCACCCACTACATCCCAGTTTACCCATTACATCCCAGATTACCCATGGCATCCAAAATTACCCATTACATCCTAGTTTACCCATTACATCCCAGATTACCCATGGCATCCAAAATTACCCATTACATCCCAGTTTACCCTTTACATCCCAGATTACCCATGGTATCCAAACTTACCCATTAAAACCCAATTTACCCATTACATCCCAGATTACCCATAGTATCCAAAATTACCCATTACATCCCAGTTTACCCATTACATCCCAGATTACCCATGTCATCCAAAATTACCCATTACATCCAAGTTTAACAATAACAGGCCATTTACCCATGATACTACATTACCCATTAATTTAGTCTATCCATTAGAGCTTTTATCAATTACATCCCAGATTACCCAGCACAGACCTTTTTACATCACATCAATACAACACAGTTTACCCATTACATCCCAGTTTATCTATTACATCCCAGTTTACCCATTACATCACAGTTTACTCATAACATCCCAGATTACCCATTACATCCACAGTTTACCCATTACACCCCAGATTACCCAGCACAGACCTTTTTACATCACATCAATACAAGACTATCCAATACAACACAGTTTACCCATTACATCCCAGTTTAACTAATACATCCCAGTTTACCAATTACGTCACAGTTTACTCATAACATCCCAGATTACCCATTACATCCCAGATTACCCATTACATCCCAGATTTCCCGTTATATAGTCATAACATCCCAGATTACCCATTTCATCACAGTTTACTCATAACATCCCAGATTATACCAATTACTGCCCAGTTAGCTAATAATATCCCGACCTAACATTCAAATATCACTTGGATATTAATTGGTCAAGATAGAGCAACAGTCAAATGCTAAACATACAGGACCAACCTAGGATCAACAACGGTTTTCTTTTAAAGTTCAAATGAACCATTTTCTAGTAAAGAATCATATTCCATAATCATATTCTACATGAAATTTTTCTGACTGACAAAATGAGATATGAAAATGTTGAAAATAACCCCAGTAATAAGAAAGATAACTGACATCTCCAATATAGCATTTTCAATTATCATGTAGAAATTCAATTATACTAAATCAATAGCTATTCTATATGTCTTATTGATAACCTCCCTTTGTATTAAGTGAAATCTTTCAACTTCTCTTATCTCGGGTTTCTTTCCATTATCTCCATTACGCCTTTCGAAACCAACAGCAAAGTATGAATTGGTGGATTCACTAATGGTTCAGCTTTGTATCGATGCCAAACGTTTGGGCAAATTTGGCTTTTGTCATAAAAAAATCTCAAAAACTAGCCATCAAAAAATGGATCGGAGTATCGGAGTAATGACCATTGTTCTGGTCCTAACCGTGACAATATCTTATGCGTATATCATGTCCGAGGAACTGACATGGTCAGATTTGTCGAACTAAGTTTATAGATGCAAACCTGTTCTAATAGGATTGCCGGAAACTAATAGGCCTACGACATTGTGTAATAGCAATATTCAACGAAGAACACTAAGTCGTCTGTATATGATATAGTACCTATTTTCAAATCATATTAAAGGGGAACAGTCGGCATTTTCAGGAATTGATTTGGGTCTTTATTGTGCTTCAATACTAAAACGCACGAAAATTGCATGACCACTTCAAATATACCTCAAACTAGAAATTTCACTGTCTATTTCTATAGATGTGTTTTCTATATATGGCATAGTCTCACTAAAATTCGAGTCGAATTTGTAACTTTCAAACGTGAATAATTATGGATAAACATAAATTTTGCAGGCTTAAATTTTGACGATGAGCTGTGAACACTATTACTGATTATGTAAGCTAAAAAAAATCCTGTTACTGAATCTAAGGTATGATTGTTCGAACGGATAGTGAAGGTGCTCTTAAAACATATATGGAATATGGGTATAGCTGCCATTAGGCATAACATAACAACGCTGATTTTTATCTTCAAGATGAATATAATACTCAATTTCAGCTATCTAAATCAGTTTTTACATTCCGACACCTGGTTAACATCCTCACGTTATTGTTGACGTTTGTTGGTAAGACACCAGGTTCCATTCGGACAGCTGGAATTGAGCTGTTTAATATTGAACATGAAACACCAAAAGAACTATTTCGTTTAAGTTAAACTACTGTGGCTTACATAAATAAAATCAGTCTCCGACACCCAAACTTCTCCTGTCAACGACGAGATGTACGTCAACAAAAGGAGACTGCATGATAGAGGCTAAAGTACATCAATTAAACACCCAATCGCAAAGTTGTAAAATGCAAACACAAAAATTGGAAAAAAGAGCATCCGTTCAAGATTACATTGTCAATTGTTAGAATTTCGGTTGTTTTTGTCGTTTTCTTTCTGATAAATAAGTCCTGCCTTGGGCATACCACAACGAATTTCTTATCGAAGAAAAACTAATCAAGCCTATTTGACCGTTTCTAAGATATTTGTAAAATACGTTAGTATGGAATATTAGCGATGTATTGAAGATTATTAGCGAAGTAATAGGCCATGTGCTATGGTTCTCTCACTATGGATCCTCAACAACAAAATAGCAACTAATTTCATTTCACATCTCAATAATTTTCTCGCTAAACTTATTTTCTGTGGAGTAAATGAACTCCTATCAATATCTAAGTGTTGATGATATGGGATGGTCTTTGACATTTCAATTTTCTTCTTACTGCATGCTTCGTCACATCTTTATAATAATAACAATGCTATCGTTTTAACACCCTATAACTAGTTATTCATTAGAATGATTTAGCTATTTTTGTTATTGTAAGAACTCATACAATTTTTTGACAGAGTAACATTGCTCAGAAGTATTCTCTATAATTGAGGTTTGGAATTTCAAGAAATTTACTTAATTATTAAAATTGAATAAGTCACTGATCAATTACAACGAGAAATAACAATATCAAGAGAGAACAACTTACAAACTGAAATAACAATATCAGAAGAGAGCAACTTACAAACTGTAATAACAATATCAGAAGAAATTTACACACAACGTGATATAACAATGCCAGATGAGAGCAACTTACAAAATGAAATAACAATATCAGAAGAGAACAACTTACAAACTGAAATAACAACATCAAAAGAGAACAACTTACAAACTGAAATAACAATATCAGAAGAACTTAGGACACAACGTGGAATAACAATGCCAGATTAGAGCAACTTAAAAACTGAAATAACAATATCAGAAGAGAACAACTTACAAACTGTAATAACAACATCAGATGAGAGCAACTTACAAACTGAAATAACAATATCAGAAGAGAGCAACTTACAAACTGTAATAACAATATTAGAAGAAATTTACACACAACGTGAAATAACAATGCCAGATGAGAGCAACGTACAAAATGAAATAACAATATCAGAAGAGAACAACTTACAAACTGAAATAACAATATCAGAAGAGAGAAACTTACAAACTGTAATAACAATATTAGAAGAAATTTACACACAACGTGAAATAACAATGCCAGATAAGAGCAACTTACAAAATGAAATAACAATATCAGAAGAGAACAACTTACAAACTGAAATAACAATATCAGAAGAGAGCTTTTAAAAACTGAAATAACAATATCAGATGAGAGTATTTACAAACTGAAATAACTATATCGGAAGAAATTAACAATATCAGATGAGAGGAACATACAAACTGAAGTAACAATATTCAGATGGACGAGAGCAGCTTACAAACTGGAATAACAATATCAGAAGAGAACAACTTACAAACTGAAATAACAATGTCAGAAGAGAACTTTTAAAAACTGAAATAACAATATCAGATGAGAGCATTTACAAACTTAAATAACAAAATCAGATGAGAGCAACTTACAAACTGAAATAACAATATTCAGATGGATGAGAGCAACTTACAAACTGGAATGACAATATTAGAAGAGAGCAATACACAACACGAAATAACAACATCAAAAGAAATTAACACACAACGTAAAATAACAATGCCAGATGAGAACAACTTACAAACTGAAATAACAATATCAAAAGAGAGCAAATTGGAATAACAATTTCAGAAGGGAGCTTTTACAAACTGGAATTACAATAGCAGAAGAGATCAACATACCAACTGAGTAACAGAAATATCAGAAGAGAAAAACCAAAAACCTGAAATAACAACATCAGATGAGAAAAGCACACACAATGAAATTCACAATATAAAACTGCAGGTTACAAAATAACAATATCAGAACAGAATACTGACGGAATGAAATATCAGAAGATAACATCCTACACATTGAAATAAAAATATCAGACGAAAATAACTTACGAAATGAAATAACATAGAAAAAGACAAAAAAATGAAAATATTCTTCAATTATCTTAAAATAGCATAGAATAAGTTACATTTTTTAAGGATAGTATCATCTGTTTCAAAGGCTTTTGTTTCAACAAAAGCTGTATTTTGTAAGTATCGTTTGAAGCTATGTACAGTTGGCAATGATAATTCTAATTTACATTTGTACAAATAATACTTTACACTATAAATACAATTATTCACAAATAATCATTCATATATGCTTTTGAAAAGAGCTTGATCAACAAAACAAAAATGTTTCTCTAAAAAGGTTATTTTAACATTAATATCATTATTTAAGAGAACAGTTTGTAAATATTGCCAAATCACATTAGTATGTGAGCAAAGGATAAAAAAAATGTTCAATTGTCTCTATTGTTGAATTACAGAAAGAGCATAAACTTGTATTTCTTAGTTTTAGCTTACATAATTTTTCATTTAAGAAGATAATATTGTGGCAGTATTTATATTGAAAGTTTTGAAGTTAAGTACTTTTACACACAGATATCATATTTTTGAATACATTAGATATAAAATCTTCCGAGAACGTTTCACCAAAGAGAGTCTGCCATTTTATAATTCCATAGGGACATTTATATTTTTGTTTGATATTAAATACATATACATCTTTCGCTGTTATGTTTGTGAGGGATTTTTTGTAAGTGTTTCTTAATATTGTATTTATATATTCTAAAATGCTTGGTTTTTGTAAAAAAAAAAAGTATCAGTATCCGTAGGTTTGTGTGACTTAAGATTGATTTTTATCGTATCGATTAGGAATCTAATATTACAAGACTGTTTTTGATAGTTATCCTAACTTATATCGAGCATATCGGTAACATACACAAAACCCAAATCAATAAAAACTTTTGAATCAGAATCATTCACGTTTATCAATGGATTATACCAGATTATTTGACTTTAAGAATTAGTAGCTTTTTCAATATATCGAGTAAAAATGTCGTTTCAGGTCTTAAAATGTATATTATAAAATCGAGATACACACTTTAAATTATAAGTATAGTTACTTACAACAAGTTTGAAACAGTGAAGGAAGATAAAATGTACTTGAAAGTTAATAACCATGCTTGGTCAGGATTTAAAAACATCTTTTTAAACCAGAAAATGCATTTACTTTTTACAAATTCATTTATATCAATCATTCCGAGACCTCCCTCGCTGTAATTCTGACATACTCCTTTTTATTTTACCTGGTCCATAGAATACTTCTGCTATCAACTGTGGCAAAAAAGGTTTTTTTTTTTTTAAGGGACAGATGCGTCATTTTGGGTCGGTTGATTTAAGTCCTGAATATATGGAAATGCTTTTCAGAAATACCAGAAATACATGTAAAAGAAAATCGCATAATTCCATTACAAATTCTTCAGACTAGGAATCTTACTCACTATTTCTATATATGACTCTTCTATATATCACAGAGTATCTTAAAATGACGAGTCATCAGTTTAACATTCAAATGTGGATAATTCTGGACACACATGGATTTGAAGGCTAAAATTTCCACGGTGAGCTGTGAACATTATTACTGATTGGCTTAGATAAAAAAAAATTCCCGTTTCTGAGTATGATTAGAAAAAAATTGCTTTAAATCAGGTTCATGACTTTATGATATAATTTACGAAGTAATAAAATGATACTGTGTGGTGGAAATTGAATGATAATTCAGCTTTTCGAATCTTGGTTTTTTTTATTGCAGACCTGTACATAATAATCACCATTGTATTATTGCATCTTCAGAATGCCAACATATTGCGAACTTTTATACCTTGACTACAATAGCCACCCATTGTTGTATCACGGAATGCAGCGATTTGATTTGACTGTGTGCCGCCAAATACAATTAATCATAGTCCTCAACAAAAATCTGTATATGTTATGGCTTATTGTTAAGAGACTCCACTTTCTGTTTAACGTTAAATCCAATCTACTCACTGTTTTACAAACTTCCGTGACACAATAAAGGTTGTTATTGCAAGAACGGTATAAGACGAAGTTCGTAATAGTTTGACATTGTGAAGTTGATATTATTGGTTACAATGTCATATTGAAAGAACTATTATCTACTAATTAAAGGTTATAATAGTAATGTCCAAGTGGTGTATTCTAGTTCCAATTAAAGAATATCTATTGATACTTGAAATGGACAATTTTTTCAATCTTCTTCAAGCAAGTGGTTGGAGCAGAGATTACACAAAAACATGCAGATGTTAATTCTTACGATGGTCTCATAATAACGACCATTTTAGCTTAAAAGGGGCATTTTGTATATTGATAGGTCGAGATGGGAGCAACATATAAACTGAAATAACAATCATCAGATGAGAACAACTTACAAACTGAAATAACAATATCAGATGAGAGCAACTTACAAAGTGGAATAACAATATTAGATGAGAACAACTTACAAACTGAAATAACAATATCAGATGAGAACAACTTACAAACTAAAATAACAATATCATATGAGAGCAACTTACAAACTGAAAAAACAATATCAGATGAGAACAACTTACAAACTGAAATAACAATACCAGATGAGAACAACTTACAAACTAGAATAACAATATCAGATGAGAACAACGTACAAACTGGAATAACAATATCAGAAGAACTTAGGACACAACGTGGAATAACAATGCCAGATTAGAGCAACTTACAAACTGAAATAACAACATCAGATGAGAGCAACTTACAAACTGAAATAACAATATCAGAAGAGAGAAACTTACAAACTGAAATAACAATATCAGAAATTAAGACACAACGTGAAATAACAATATTTGATGAGAGCAACCTACAAACTGAAATAACAACGAGAGCATTTACAAACTGGAATAACAATATCAGGAGAGATCAACATACGAACTGAATAACAGAAATATCAGAAATAACAACATCAGAAGAGAGAAGCATACACAATGAAATAACAATATAAAACTGAAAGAACTATTAGCAACTAATTAAATCATAACGTTTAAAGTAACGTTCAAGTGATGTATTCTAGTAGTAAAACCTTTAGGTCTACTCTAGAAGTAAGAGGATGGAAAGATGTTAAAATATCATATCAATATCATGAAGAGTTTCCTACGCAGTTCTGCCAATAATTCGATAAATATAAGTGTAATAAATTATTTTTATTTTCAATGTTTCGATTTAAATATCGCGTTTCACATTTCATAAATGTATACATCAACTTCTTGCAATAATGATTTGTCAATAAACATGTCTGATAGAGGTAATACTTTATAAAGTTCATGATAGCTTTAAGTAATGATAATTCGACAATAAAAGTTGTCTAGAAAGAGTACACTATTGGTAATAATGTTCTAAGGCTATTCAATCAATAAATATATATTGTTTTAAAGTGAAACTGTCTGCAATCATATGATCCGATTAAGGGTTATCCCCTTGAAATGGACAAAATTTTCAAACTTCTTCAAGCAATTGGTTGGAGCAGAGATTACACAATAACATGCAGCTGTTAAATCTTACGATGGTCTCATAATAACGACAATTTGGGCTTAAAGGGGCATTTTGTATTTTCGTAGGTCGAAAATTTTTTTCCCTTAAATTTGTCAAAACTATACACCAAAATGTAGAGCAATGTCTCCTTTAAATCTCTGAAAAATTTAAACTACAATTATGCTTTCCTTTAACTATTTAAAATGTTTACGTAAACTTTTTAAGTTCGTTATGCTTTGAGGTATGTATGTTTAATTCTGGTTATGTCAGCAGTGAAAAAATAGTCTAACTTCTACGGCATAATTATGTTTCTTTAATTTCACAGGCACAGGATTTAAAATACACTACGGAATACTGAAGTAGAGTTCTATCAGATGGGAAAGTAAACATTTGGAGGTCGTTTAAATGCCGCAATAATAGGATGTGAAGATAAATTTCCATAAGAACGATGGAAAAAGGTTATATTAGACTTTTTGTTTCCTTTTACTAATTTTCTATAAATATTCTATAATGTTATAACTTAATCATAGTATAGAATATTAGTGGCGGTGTTAAAGGGCTATTTGTTATTTATGGCTTAGTAACAGATCATAAATATAATTTATAACGGTGAAATAACAGATACAGAAATATCATGTTATTTACGACATGTGAGCTTTGTTTTAAGCATTTCAAAATCGGATTTTCAGTTGACATGATTGTAAGATAGCATTCTTTGATCTTAAAGTGATACTATGTCTTAGAATTAACATGAAATTGAGGTTCTCAAGAATGGTCAATATGAGTATATATTCATCAGTGAACTTTCATAGTGTCATAAAGTTACAACAGATTCCCTGTAAAATCTGGAAAATTCATGAAACTAAGTAATTATTGAAAAACGCTTAATCTTAATATTAAGCGTTTTTCAATGGTTAATTGTATATTTATGGATAATTACTCAGTTTTTTGGATTTATCAGATTATATAAGGATTCTGTTATGTTATTTATGACAGGTATATCTACTGATGAATATATGCTCTTATTGGCCAATTTAAAAATTCTACAATTTTATGTTCATTCTAAGACAGTATTCATTTAAAAGGTAGCGAGTAGGTTTTCACACTTAACCGTTGATCCAACACATTAATTATATCACTGAGATTTCATGACTTCCTGTTTGTCTATAATTGAATATCAAGTAATAGTAGCAAAATGGAATGAAACATCGTAAAATCTCACAAGACGAGAGATTAGTTTCTTTAACTCTAGCTGTCTAATATCTGTCAAGAATGCTATGGGAGACTAAAAAAGGTCAGATTGTATTAATGTATGGGATAACAATGACTTGTTACACTGTGACATAATTATATAGATTAAGGAAGAGAAAACAAGTAAATCACGTCTAATATCAAAAATCGAACATGATAACGTACGAGTCGCTGCCTTTAAGAGATAAATTTAATGAGGAGGAATAAAAGTTCCAGCAACGATTGAACAACTTCAATGAAATCTATTATAAGATTAAATCACCTTTTACTTTCCACATGGCAAGTTTCCTGGCCATCATATTAATGGCTTCATTAACAGTTAGTAGCAGTCCTAACATTTTTTATCACTTCAAATCGATCTTGTAGTTCGTGTTATGTTTCATAATATAGTGGAATTATATCATAACACTCATTAGCAGGCAGGTTGTACAGGTTTATATCTGAAACATGAATACAAACATCAACTTACATAACATAGTCCACATTCATACTAAAAAAATGCAAATACATATCTTCACAATGTCAAGACTTTTACGAACCTTGTATAATAGAAGTACGAAGTTCGTAATAGCTTGACATTGTGAAGATGACATATATACATTGCAAAAGACTTGTATGAATGCAAAGCTGTCGTGTATGCATTATTTATGTTATTATTTATTCGACGAGTCAATGATTGTGATAGAAAGTGTTTGTAAGTGAGATAGATAGTGAAACATGGATACAACATCAAAATACTGAATGGCTGCCAAACTTAAGTGTATACATACATATTAATATTTATCAAACGAGTCAATGATTGTAATAGAAGGTGTTTGTAGGTGAGATCAAATTGAAACATCAAATTACAAAACGTAGTACACATTCATTCTACATAAATATACATTACAAAAGGCTTGTATGACTGCAAAGTTGTAGTGTATACATTACTTATAAATATATTTATCAAACGAGTTTATGATTGTGATAGGAGTTTGTAGGTGAGGTAAATAGTGAAACATGAATACAAACATCAAATTACTAACTGACTGCACAATTTTAGTGTAAACGTACTTCTAATAATATTTATATCAAGCGTGTCAATGATTGCAATTGAATGTGTTTGTAGGTGAGATAAATAGCATGTGCTTCGTGTTTGGTAGAAATTGAGACATCGAACCAATGAAACTGGCACATGGTAAATGCGAAAAAACAGTAATATATACCCGTTCAAGATATTATAGAAGAACAAATTTAAAATCTTGCCAATCATAGTATTGCTGGAAAAAGATGGTGCAGACAGGCAATGGAACATACTGCTATATAGTGTATTGGATATTGCAGCGAGGAAACCTTTCCGATATATCTTGTCGGGTTTCTTCTATTTTCCTGTTTTAAAAGACAGTTTTTGTTGAAATAATAATTTGCATGGGGAAATATAAAAACATGCCATGAACTTCGATCGAAATTTCTCCTTCAAGTTTTTCTATAATGAAATGACAGACTGGAAGACGTTTCCCGCTTTGATGATAATGACAATCTTTTTTCATGTTTCTTAAAGTCAATATTTGATGAACCTTATCAGATCTCACTTCATTTTCTGAGATAATTTTCTCATATCCTGCTTTCATATTCGCCATATATTTGTAGAAGGGCACGGTATTTCGTGTAAAGAAATCATTAAGGAATTGCTACTCAGACAGAACTCAGCGACATTAAACAACCTTCAGAAAACAGCCATAATGTGTGGATATCACGAAGGGTATATGAAAGATATAGAAGGTTTTTTTAAAGATGTTGTCTGCTTAAACTAATGTTTAAATAGACCTATTAAGGCAGGAAGGAAATGTCTTTGTTATATTCTTCAAGATAAAATAGATCTATCTCTATAATGTATTTATAGAAACGGTAAACATGTTATTTTCATACAATAATTATAAAAGAAACACGATCGCTTTCCTGGAGACCTCGGCATAATTCGTAGTACATCATTGGATTCTCAATTTCCCGCAGTGGCGGCTCCAGTCTCCCGATACATGGGGTACAAATAGGGGACAGACTGACGAAATGGGGAGGACAACTGCCAAGGTTGAGACTCAAAATCTTGCAGTTCTGTGGAAGCACACAGGCATAAACCACTAGTAGAACGTTTAGAGGGTTATTATCCAAGAAAAATCGAATTGATTAGATTAATTCTGACAAATTGTTTGGGCAAAATCGCACCACTAGTGGCGCCAACATGGAAAACGATCACTATACTGGATCACTTTACTGGAGCTCTCGGCATAAGTCACCGAACACTGTTGGATTTTTAGTCTCCCCTTTGGAACAGGTCGAAAGGGCAGACATAAAGATGTCTGTTTCATTTTGGAACTGACAGAAAGACCATAATAAAGTGCTTTGTTGTATAGTAACACAGTGGCACATAAGGGCAATTAAGGAACAGTCGTATTTGCTAAGGATAACAAATATTACGCACGAGGATCCTACTCTAGTAGCTTGTTCTTGGCCAAACCTCCTGATCTTTCAAGGATTATTCGTACCTATTTACTAGGTTGACTGGTATAATTAGGAAGGACGATAACTTTATTTGAGAAAGTCTTTTTTCTGTTCATTATCCGGCATTGAAAATTCTTGAGTAGACAGTACCCATATTTAACCTTGTTGGCATCTGACTTTATCTTCCAGTTATGAATCAAGAATTGAAGTTCTAATACTTTATCTATTTTCGGAAAAAGTGCTGGCAATTCTGATGGTATTGGGTGGGCCGTGACTATGTGATATTGAATTTGAACTGAAGTGGTGAAGAACTTGTTTGTTTGCTGAATGGTACTACTATTGCGATTATCAATATTGACTTGGTGGATCTCTGCATTACTTCCGTATTTTCGGCAGAGGCGATCTTTTTTTCAGGAAGAGATCAATCAGCTCATCAGCACTAATCGGCATTCATCACCATTAGGCTCAAACAATTTAATCGATTCTCATACATCACGCTCCTAGTAGGACAGTTCATTAGTTTCAATCATGAAAAAGATCGCTCTGCAGTTGCATTCGACACCATTATGCACATATATCCCCGAGTTACCTCTACATTAGGATATTCATCTTGTAATTTGTAATTTTTGCGCTTGTATTAGCTGCTTCTTTCACCTTCTTGGCACCAAACGTTTTTAAGAACTTTATCCCACCTGCCCTTCTGATTTTGAGCCATGATTACCTTACGCTGTTAAGCATAAATATTTTTATGTATATTATTTATCAGTTAAAGAGTAAGCCCTAAATTGCATATAATTTGTTAAAAATCTTTCAAAAGACTCTGAATTTGGTTACACTGTAGCAGTAGGTTAGGCCTCACAACAAGTTGAGAACGCAAATTCGACAAATAAGTTAACAATGAAAACTTTTGAATCCATAACTTCTGAAGCCGAAAGTCGCGACAGATTGGATATTTATTATGGTTAATCACTCAATAAAAAGGGTGTGGATGGAATGAGCTTACAGCCGCGGGTCGGTATCTACCAACCCCCACCACAGACCAAAACTATATTTTTCTGAGACCTCAAAATATACTCTTTCAGAATATCCATGTTAACATTGGATAAACTGGGACTTACTAAAAAAAATTCAGGTTGAAGGTAGGTACCCAAGTATTCACTTGACAGAATTGTGCAACAACATCTGAAAAAATCGAACGATTAATAAGGTCCCTTGGTCAAGATATTTGCAGAGCAACTACGGGTGGGAAAGTGGAAAGTTCCAAAGCATATTTTGATCTGTATGGCTTTCAGAAATCTTTTTAGGAGTGCCCAATTGAGTACCTTAATGAACAGACTAGGGCATTCAGAAAGTTACAGCTTTGCCCTTGAACTTGAAACAGCTATAGTGAATTCCTTGCAAGAATCGTCTTTTTTGTTAACACCAGAGATAAAACGTGACACATCTTTACCTTCAGTTCTGCACTCTGATTTCGATAATTTTGACAAATTTGTTAACAATATATCAGGAAGTAGGTCAATACATACTGCTCATGGTATTATGATGCAAGATAATGATGGATCGTTTGATTCCGAAAAAATACAAATAACTCTTCATACAATTACCAAATCAGGAGAGCGTTCATTAAAAATAATTTTAGATGGTGCATTACCACCATGCTATGTTAACCACAGGGATTGTCCGAAAATGGAAAAGTCAAGAACTGTTACACCCATTGACAAGAAATTGGTCTACTGTAAACCAAATAGAATAAATCAGATATGGTGTTTATTGCGATTAATGTGTGGAACTGATGAACAAGCTATTTCAGGATGGAGCGAAATTATTTCTGAGACTGGGGTTCAACCAAAGAGACATACGACAATTGATTACTATCCAGGTGTACACCACATTACTACTGAAAATTCACTGAATGACTCGGGTACTCAGAAGAAGCTTCAAGAGAAGTTGGGCAAAAGTATGTTATCACAAGTATCATAACGTTTGATCTCAGAGTTTGCACGAAAGCATACCCCATCATCTGGAACAGCCCAATAGAATATCAGAATCATATTGTATTAATTGTTTCCTTTCAGTTAATGTCTGCCTATATAAAGATGATTAGGAAGAAAATGACAGGGTCTGGTGTGACTGAAATACTATTAGAGGCAGGTACTATACCCAGTAGGTCTATGAAAGGGGTTATTTCTTGGAAAAACTACAGCAGAGCCATGCATTGCCATAAAACATTAACGGAAGGATTAGAGAGAAATACAGAAATACATATCAGTTAGAAACCTTTGTTTCAGAGTTACCATCATCATCAGTAGTTAATCTCACAGAATTATATAAAGATAGAAATGAAAAGAATGTAGAAGCAGTATTATGTGATTACAATGTACAAAAATTGTTATCTGAATTTCGCCATTTATATATTAAATAGTTTATATGTAAAAAAAAAAAAAAAATTTACCTGCATTATGTACAGAAATACTAAAACATACATCAATAAATTATGGTATGATAAAATGCTACTTTCTATTGCATGAGAGAGGTTCCTGGAACATTTAAACATATTGGACAAAAGTTGTTTGGAATGACATCATCTGGAAAAACTAATGTCATTAGTCATTAGTGCCGATATGTACAATACAATGTCTATTAAAAGCATAGAGCGCTGCAGTAGAGGATCGGAACAAAAACGACTCATTAAAGGAGTAAATACAGCTAGACTAAAAGATTGGAAAGAATTTTTGACAAATGATGACAATAAACAACAGCTTATAAAATTACTTATTCAAATATGGAGTGACAATGAATTTAGTCACAAGATACAAGAAAAGCTGATTATAGTTGTTTGTGAAGGTGAAGCATACAAACTTAATTTAACAGATATTGAAACAGTCAACAAGTGCCCAATACAATCTCTATCATCTACGCCAAGAAGAAACAGACACAAGAATAATTTTATACTGTTTATATGCAGAAGAACACAAAATTTGACTATGTTCAAATCAGAATCCCGGACAGTGATGTATTTTATATTTTACTTTATTATGCTTCGCATTTGAAAGTTGATATCCTACTAGATATTGGCAATGGAAATAAAAGAAGGCTCCTGAATATATCAAAATTATCTAGCAGTCAGTCGAACGAATTTAACGAAAGCTTATTAGCTTTGCATGCATTTTTCCGATGTGATACGACCAGTGCTTTGAGAGGAATAGGTAAGGTAAAGCCTATTAAGTTACTTCAGAAGACGGCTTGTTTCCAAAAACCCTTTTGTCGTCTTGGTAGTGAATGGCAGATTGACGAGGCGTTGTTTGAAGATCTTGAAAAATTTACCTGCGTTATGTACAGAAATACTAAAACATACATCAATAAAATAACGGTATGATTTCTTAGTGGAAAAGTTTGGTGGTGGTGGCCAGTGTGTGCCCCCAAAGAATGTTGACCTCTTATGTTTCCCGCCAACTAAAGCGTGTTTAAGATAGCATATTAAGAGAGTCAAGTTACAATCTCATGTTCAAAAGCCTGTAATTCCATGCCCTACCAATGATAATGGTTGGGTATTTAGGAAGGGAAAATTTGAACCAAAATGGTTTGATGGCGAGATAATGCCCAGGAGGACCGTTGCTGATATTGCTGAAAAATGTCAAGATGAGGTTGAAGATTCTGAAGACAATATTTATAGTGATTCTGAAGATGTATTTTTAAGTATTGATGACAGTGATTAGACATTAGATATTAATTTTGTGGTGATATGATACAGTGGTGATATATAACACAGATTAACTGATATTGATTTTGTGGTGATATGATCGGTGGTGATATAATATAACAAACATTAACTGATATTAATTTTGTGGTGATATACACTTAAACTCATATTTCCTGAACAATCTTCGAGCGACATATCAAAAGAATGTATTTGATAGGGTTAGAAATACTATATTATGTACTTAACGTCATCCTCGTAATAACGTTAATTATGGTGACGTCATAATAGTATATTTTAAATATAATTTTAAAGGTTTTTGTAATGAGATGTATCAGATGAAATTCATTTTGGGGGGGTAAAAAAAGGCTAATTCTTGATGTTTTTCAATTTGATATCATCCTGAATATAGAATTTGGACGCATGGAGTCCTATTCAGATTACCTCCAAATTCTGGGTAAAATTTTTGGGTAAAAAACGATGTTTTTGTGCATAATGACGTCACACTTTTTCTAAAGATGTCCCGAAGGATACAAAATCAATAATCATTAAATTCCAAATAAAACGGTTCATTTCTTTATCAAATCGGTTAAGTTTGAAAAAATGTTTTGCATATTTTTTGTTCATCAGTCTCAATTTTATACTTGAGTACCTACCTTCATCTTGAACATTTTTTTAGTGAGTCCCAGTTTATACAATTTTAACATGGATATTAGAGAGCATATTTTTAGGTTTCAGAAAAATATAGGGGGTGGTGCCAGGTGAACCCCTCCAGCCCACGGACTATATCGTCTTCTGGTAAAGAAGCTTGTGTCTTGGCAACTGCTGACAAAAAGGCAACTCAGTAGGGTCGTCTGTTAATAATCTAGGGAATATGAATATCAACGGTACCGGTATTTAAATAAAAAATCGACTAGTAAACAAAAAAAAATAAAACACACGATAACGTGCAAACGGTTAATTGATGGGTAAATAGTCGATACAATTATCTACAGTACAGGTAGCTACGTTTCGGGACTAATCCCTTTATCAAGCGAAACGAAACAAAAATAGGTGAGAAAGGTTCTATCTCTACGAAGAACAGCACTAATCTGACACATTTATCTAGGTTAGAAAATATTTTTTCAAGGGAGATAATAAACTAAAAAATTATATAGCCTAGGTCACAGAAACATTAAAGAATGGCAAATAAATTGATGAAAGAGTAAGAGTAGAACTGTTTGTTCATCCCTTCAGGTGCTAAGTTTGCGAGATCTTTATAATAATGTAAATAGGGCAGTTTGGTACGTTTCATGTGAAGAAATTTCTCATCGGCTCTGCCAAATTTTCGATGGGCCTGCGAAAATTTATTAACTGTTTGTTAATTTTTAATGTTTGTTTATAATTTGTTATGGAACGAATTTTCCATGGGCCGAAAGGCAGCTGCCTAGTTATAGGTTATAGGTTAATCTGCCACTGATTTTCGGAGTAGATGGAAATGAAAGATCTCGGGTACCTGCCTTTTTGGTTGTACTTCTTTTAAATTGTAACCGAAAGAGGTTCATGTTAACTAACTTGATGACGAATGCTCTTTAAGTAAAGGACGTTTTGATTATTGGTGTTTTTCGGGTATTTAGGTCCTTGATTATTTCCATAAAGGTAATTTCCTCTTTCGCTGCAACTTTTGGTGCCAGAAGAACCTTTCGATGGTACTGGTTTATAAACACGCTTGAAATCAGATTAGATTGTGTGGTCCATGCCCAATCTCCTGCTGGTGATGCTTTCTTTCTAGCAAAGGAGAATAACAAAGAATAACGCAATTGTAGAAACATAACGCTTTAAATTGTGCTTTGAGACAGCCAAAAAAACCCGTATTGAGAATCTGAATTCTGATTTCTTTGAGAAATATTTGCGATAATGATGTCAAAAAAACAGTTTGTCTTATTTATTGAGAAGAATTAACTCTCGGACGATAAATCAGAAAGGTGGCCTATACTAAGAAAACGTGAAACTACAACTATAGATAGGGTTATTGGGAAAAAACCAAGACCAGGATCAGATAGAGATAAGGATAGAGTATGTATGTTAACAAGATAGGGGTAGAGGGTAGATAAGAGTCGCCAGGAATTATAGATAAGGTCATCTGTTATTTTTTCACGTCCACAGTGTAAAGTCTACCGTCAACATGCTGGGAGCAAAAATAATTTCTTTTAGTTTGTTGGTAGCAGGTTAGTTCTACTTTTCACGAAACCTTTCTGTCTGTTTGGTGAGATCATGCTTTTTTGTCGGCAATTTTAAACAGTGTCTTCCTTAGTTCTCTCAATTTGATGTGTTATTTTCTGCGAATCACTCGACTTGCCGTCCATGATCTGGAGAAATTGATATGCATCTTATGTTCGAAGCAAATTGTTATTCAGCCAATTGAATTATCTGTTCAATAAAATAATTTCGAGAACATTAACTCTTTTTAACAATATTTTGATTGATTAGCATAGGTCTTTTTGATGCTTTTGGGTAAAAATTCTACACGATTTAGTAATCAAAAGAAACGCTTTACGAAATAAAGCTGTATTTGCAGAATAAATGCTTTACATAGGGGTTTCTATGAACTTACTCACTCTTAATACAAACAGATTATAGATTATCATTCCGCTATTTCAGTTGTGTTGAGTGCTGATGTATGTCAACAAGATTGTACCAGTGAAAAGAAGGAAATTTGTGGCTCTGATGGCAAGACGTACGGTGAGTCATTCTGGTTGGAAATATCATTTTCGCGGCGTGTGTGTTTTTTTTCAAGGCTTTTTATAATATTTCAGTATGGTGTACAAAAAAGGACCACACGTCATATCCCTCAGACCATTGCATTTTCACAGTCTAATATCTTGACGGCAATAGCCATATTTCTTGTATCGTGGAAGTTTTAAGATGCAGGGAATTGATTGGATTGTACGCTACCGAATACAGCAAATCAGTGCCTTCGTCAGAAAGACTCTAAACTAGTTGGCTGCGTGTGTAATCTATGATTGGGTGTATTTGGTAGTGTACAATCCAATCAAATCGCTGCATTAACAAACGTCCCTAATACATCAAAGAGACTATTGCAGTCAAGGTATTAGACACAGTGAGGTTAAAATTTAGAATTTATTTTGATGAAGACACTGAAAGACATCTGCAAGAATCCATTGACACTTTCTTCTTTATTTTGATTTTAGTTAATGCCTGTCATTTTGGTATTGAATCGTGTAGAGCTCATGCTGCTAACAAAAAGGTCTTGTATGAAGTCCACAGTGGGGAGTGTTCTAATCTAGGTGTTCACAAACAACTTAAAGCTTGTACTCAAATCTGTGACGAAGAACTTGATCCAGTTTGTGGATCTAACAACCAAGTCTATGGTAATGTTATTCTAATATACAAAGAAGATCTGCATATTAAAGCTTTTATACTAAATAGATTTTTTAAAGATATTTTTTAGCCTAGTTAGAGCATGGTAGCTTTATGTGGAGTGTTACCTTTTATGGTCATGCATCTTTTCCGGTAATAATACGGTGTGCTATGATAACAAAAATTCAAAGAACAAATAGCCGATAGTTGTTTTTCAACTTGTAAATTTATACCGAACTCGGTTTCTTCCACAAGGAGAAAACTTTTAATTCTGGTTGGCAGGGAACTCGATGATTTCTTTTACCCTTCCGATCATCACATGGAGAAACCTTTTAATTCCAGTTGGCAAATTCAACCGACGTAAATCAAAAGTCATGCGTGTTTAGTTGATGATTTATATCACGTTGTTTCCTTCTATTTTAATATGGTTAAATGATACTACACGTATTTTGATATTACAATAAATCATTTCTTGTAGAGAACCCTTGTAAATTCAGAAGAGCACAATGTCAATATGCCAATGAAAATAAACATTTAGCTATGGTATCGTCTACTACAACAAGCTGTCCTAAACCAAGACCTGTGAGTAAATTTGCAACCAAAGTTTAAAAAAATGTACACCCCTGAAGTCAAATTTAAGCATTACTCTTCGACCACATAATGTCAGCTGTGCATAATGAAATTTGCATAAACTCCATGTCTTCTTGAAATGGGTTTTTGTTTTCAAGAGAAAATCAAAATCGTCGATAGATTCCGACGAATTAAATAAAAGTATGTCTTGATCATAGAGCTACATAAAATAGAATAATCTGAATGTTTCATATTAATGGGAAATAATCCTATATATAAGGGACACAAAGAATGTATAATCTACAATATTCCCCAAGAATCCAGAACTTAAAATAACAATCTTAAAACTAATTGAACGAAGCCACGCTTTGACAGATATAATAATCACCAAGCCCGCAGCTAAAGCCCTTCCCTTCCTGAAAAATTGGACAACCGACCCATCTCATTTGATGCAACTGAGCCCCCCCCCCCCCCTCCCCCCTTGATATATAACTTGTGTATTCTTAAGAAGGGTGGCGTCTAATGTGACTCAACTAATTAATTAACTAATTAAAATGACCCTAACTCTTAAATCATGATTTTGATGCCATGAAAGCCCAATGTACCATCCATGACCCTATAAGTGATAACAGAGGGCGATATTGCTGTCCTAGCAACCAGGGCAAGATGTCAGCCTCCATGAAGGCATGCTGAGTCTGTACAATTACCTTTAGAACCTCAGAATTTTACCTTAAGTGTACAAATTAACCAGCTATTAGCTTTATCAAGTGGGCCTTAAATTTTTTGAGCGATCCTTGTTTAGGAATAGACCTTTCTTAGTAAATCCAAGATAGACCTTTATATAAATATATATTGGACTGTTTGATATTTTGATAGGTACATTGTGACCAGTATAAGCAAAATACTAGTGGACTAGCGATAGAACAGAGTGGATTTAATTTAATTTCCTGTCCACGACATCACAAAGGCCATAGTCATAACCAAAATCATACAACTATTTGTGCTTCAAACAACCATAACTATTATGATGAGTGTGAACTGTGTTACCACATAGAACTTCTGAAATCTAGAAACACTAACCAAGGTATGTTGTTATTATATAGAACTTCTGAAATCTAGAAACACTAACCAAGGTATGTTGTTATTATATAGAACTTCTGAAATCTAGAAATACTAACCAAGGTATGTTGTTATTATATAGAACTTCTCAAATCTATAAATACTAACCAAGGTATGTTGTTATTATATAGAATTTCACAAATCTAGAAATATTAACCAAGATACGTTATTATATAGAACATCTCAAATCTAGAAATATTAACCAAGATACGTTATTATATAGAACATCTCAAATCTAGAAATATTAACCAAGGTAAGCTATCAAATCTCAAATCTCAAATCTAGAAATACTAACCAAAGTTGTTTTTAAAAGACACAGTTTATACAATAATATCACATAATTATTTATCATTAGAATTAATGATTATTATCTATTTCAGTGACTAGTTGGATGATTCTTCATGATGGTAAATGTAAAAGAGGTGTTTCCTTCAATCCCTTTGGTATTAATTTGATTGGTTAAAAGATTAATAAATCATTGGAGAAAAAAAATGGTGTCTGTTGATTAATGTTTGGATCTTAGGAAGATCTAATTAGATATATTAAGGATGTGAACCAGGGATGTTGATTTGGCTCTATCTGCCGGACATGACCGACGGGGCTTCTGAAATGACCGTCAGTCAATATCCTCTATTAGACATCAAGTATTGGTTAGCCATTAGGGCTTTCAATGTCGGTCAAATGCAAAATTTAATGACAACTCTAGTCTAATGAAGTATAAAGCCATTACCAACCTGATATTCTGATAATCCCTTAATTACCTGTTAAATTAATCATCAATTCAATTGTCTACTAATGGTACAGTCAAGAAACCTAATTTCGTGGTAACCTATTTTTCGTGGATTTCTGGAAATATTTAATAATTTACATGAGCGACCTTGCATTAGCTTGTTTTGATAACCATAGGTTGTCTGCACAATATCAGCTAGTAGAATGAATCCAGTAGTTTCAAGCAAGGTAAAATGTATTAATGTATACTTTGACAAATACAAAATGGCGGATTTCAGTTATTACCAAACGTCACCATTTTTTATCGGCCGAATTTCCTTATAATCCCAAGCGGTAATCGGAATTCCAAGTGTCGTCTGCTAGAATGTAGTCCAACGAATGAAGTCACGTGATCAACTACCGAATTCCGTGTCAGCAGAAAATTTCTATGGAACAAAAAGTGGACCTTATTCCTATGTTGTTTCAATGACTTTTAGCAATAAATCAGGCTACGCATCATATTTTGTCAGTCACTATTTTTTTTTCTAAAAATCGTGGTTCTTTGAAGGAATTGACACTAGTTATAATGAATTGATATTAAAGATAAATACTAGGAGAAGTTAATTATACCACCCGGTATCTATACAACGTGTTTTTCTAGACTTATTTATAGATCAAACATTGTACACGAAAATAGGTGACACATTCTGCCGCCGTTGCCGCTCATGAAATATGGGTCAAAGTGAAGGATTCATAAAGAAAATCGAAATAAACCAATTTCAATTATTTTGTAGAATATAAAAATTTTTTTTTTTTTGTAAACTTTGACGAAATTCGGTGTTGAATTCTTATATCCACGAAAATAGGTTACACCACTGTACTTCTTTGTTTACATTTAGAAATTGAAACATAGTTATCTCCCTTAATCTAAGCAAGATAATTCTGACCTATATTCTATTAAAACATTGCCATTGAAGTATGTTTTGAATTTCTGACAAAAATCAAGAAAGTTCTCAATTTTACAGTTAATCTTCTGTGAGAAACGAACTGAAATTCAGAAAAGTTATCTATCCAATAACGTCCCGTTAAGTGTGTTTGACCTATATCTTGTACTTACATTTTAAATTTTATTTCTCTCCTTAATTACCTCCCTTGAAGTTAAAACATTCAAACATTCCCAGAATTTTCTTTATCTAAAACGTTAAGATGCCTACAAAGTATAAGATAGCTTGCCAGGCAAGTAACATGCACCCGCAGGCAGCTTTCAGAAATGACAACCGACTTGAAATTCTCATTTTAAAGATCTTCGTAATGAATATTTTATATTATATATTTACGGATTTGAAATTTGAAATTGAGATCAAAACCTTTGTTTTCTCATGACGTCTTTTGGTTATTGCATGTTTTCCAGTTGGAGCGTTATCTGATCGTAATCGGAACGCCGTAGATCGCCGCCAGTGGCGTATGTTAGAAAGGGGGGAGGGACCTCGATGCCATCCTAGATAAGGAAATTTTCCAGGGAGATGCCCTTATTGAACCCAACCAGCACCCTACCCCCATCCCCCTCCATCTCAAAGAAATCCTGGCTAAGCCACAAACGTTACCCCAAATTTATTTATCACAAATTCAAATATGTTTTTTTTTACGTTTTTGCCCCCCAGTTGTTCCCCATGGAGTCACTTTACCCCCTATTTGTACCCCAGTCTCGGGAGGCTTGCGCCGCCACTGAGCATTATGGTAGATATATGAATATCACGCATAATACAAGATCACTTACCAATATCAGAAGCTTGATCATTATTCCCGACAGTCATCTCTTCCTTTCTCCTATTACGGAAGTGCCATCCGTTGGTATTGATTCAGGAACTTCGACCAGACCTGTTCAGTAAGGTTGTTGATGTCTCTGCTTCATATTGTCTGGTTTTCTTTGGGTTTTCTGAAATGATAATGACAAAAGATTTATGAAAATTTGACTTTGAAAGCATAGGAGTACCTTTGCTCCCCTAGAAATATGGTTTGTACCCCCATTTCTTTTCTAACAAATTTAAATAAATGATTTCTATAAGTTTTTGCCCATAATTTGTGTCAGAATTCAACTAATCAATTCAATTATTCTAAAAATCTGTCATGGGGATAACTAAAACGCTCTAAAATTCAAGGTTTGTGCCTATTCGCTCCTTCAGAACTGTCGCATTTAAAAACACAACACCGACAGTCGTGCCACTATTAAGGCAATCTGTCCCACCCATTTGTATCCCCAGTCTCAGGAGGCTGGCGCCGCCACGGTTTGAAAGATTTTGAGAAAAAAAACTTAACACGATTCTGTTTGACAACACCTCACCTTAAATGATGTTGATGCACAAATTTCACGTAGAATCCGTTTTCAGGAGAACTTCTGTGGAAAAATGGCTTGTGTTACCGATATTATGAGAGAAAGGGCGCGTGATTTACATATTACCCAGAATTGATTGATCATGTTTAGGATTTCACCTTTAGATCCAGCTGACTTTGTCTTTTCTTTTACAAGATCTGTTGTACCACAGTCTTTCGCTTGTGTATCAGTTTTTCTTCTTATGTCCTTCACATTTCTGCCTCCCAATCTCGATGTTACGGACGTGGGATCCGTTGGTATTGATTCAGGAATTTTGACCATTGTTATCTGATGCCGTCTTGTTTTAGCTACTGACCAGTCCTGTTCAATAAGATGATTGATGTCTGCTTCATGTCGTCTGGTTTGAGATCAAAACTTACCAGGGCATTTGCCAGCTTTCGTTTGCTCTAAATTTCTTTGAAACCGACAAGTTCGTTAGTTTTCGTCGTCTTTATTTCTTGCATGTTTTCCAGTTGGAGAATTTCTTTGCAATTCCCATTCATTCTAATGTCTGACTTCTCTTCCTCTTCCTCTGGTTGAAAATAAGTGCACTTTCTTCAAATGCATTACGCCTTGCTACGGGGTTGGGTTTTAAAAGCCAACCGCTTACCGCTGCCAACCGGCATACCGGAATGAAAAAAAAGGCGCTAAAATGAGCATTGTCAAATTTAAGGATCGTAGATTTTCATGCTACAAAACGAAACTATTCAATTTGACGGAATTGTTGTTGACGTCAATATTATGGAATAAAAATTAGTTTAAAAATGAAACGAAACAAATTAATATTTCTTTTCTTGCTTTGAGATAGGTTTGTTTCATAATATGCTTCAATGGACTTGCCTGGTTTTTTAATTTTACAACAGAATATCTCAATAAGTATAATCCAATAAATCTTAAGAAGTATCAAACTGAGCCGAGATGCACATTTTTTTACCACCAGCACTGGGTCTATAAATACTGGTACTAACAATGACACAACTAGGTCATGTGCGTTCTCGTAGGCGAAAAACACTTGCTCATAATCATCGGGTCATGTAGGCTAGACTTTTTACATCCGACAGGTGATCGCAACAGGGTTTTTGTCACCATTTTACATAGTATGACATGAGAACACATGAAAAAAGTATTCTTTTGAGGCTACCAAATTTTCCATTTTTAGAAATTTTCCAGTCTTGGTGAAGATTTTTATCCACTACATATATCGATGATTCTGAAACAAACAACCTTGTTCAGTCCTTGTGATTATTTAAAAAAAATCTAGAGGTTTGTGTACGTTTTATTGTGTGCCCCATTTTATTTTTAAAAGAGATTATTGCTGTTTTAAACACGAATTGAATCAGAAAATGTGAAGGAAAATATCTCAAAGCAAGAAAAGAAATATGCCGGTTGGCAGCGGTTGGCTTTTAAAACCCACCCTTTCTACGGGAAATCATATCAAGCATTACTGAAATATCACAGCAAATCACAAACTATATAAAACAAGATTATTCAATGAAAATTCACAATTCTTGGTTTAACCGAGTAACTTTGATAACGATCAACTAAAAAAATATATTACTCACCGATTTTTGATACGTTGATTCGTTTTGCAATGTGAAAATTTAGTAAAATGTAAGCCAAGTGACTCTATACGTCTTGGTATTCCTACAAATTGTTGAATAATGTAAGCATTGTCATGTAACGTTATTATGACGTAATAATTAATAATGATTTGTTAAAACCTTAACGCTGATTTGATCATTTATAACCGACCCCATATTTTTGCCAAGCAATGTGAAGATGAATGGTCTTCGGTTAGTTTTTTCTGTCGAGGGCTTCAATTTTCGCTCTATTTGCTCTATTTGTCGGCGTACAAAGTATCGCTGCATTCTGTGATACAAGAAGGTGGTTATTGTTGTCAAGGTATAGGATGAAGTTGTAATATCTTGACATTGTGAAGATATAAAGGGAAATGATTTAGCGAAGACTATTCACCTTCATATTGTCAACTTATAACGAACTCCGTCTAATACTTTGACATCATTTCTTGTACCACGAAAGTTTGTAAATGCGGAAATTTGATTGGATTGTGCGCTAACAAATTCTGCCAATCAGAGCACTCAACGCTGCATTTACAGCTGCCTGTTATACAAGAAAAGTGTCTAATGATGTCAAGGCTTTAGACAGACATTGTAATATCTTGATATTGTAAGGATAAAGGTCGTGAGACTTTCGCTTGCCGAGGAAAGACAGTCCATTACTATCCCCAGCCTTCTCTGAAATATTTAACCTTATCTAGTTGAGGAATCCGTTTCTCTGAAGGCATCATCGCCAATATGTCTTCAATGTACTGAGCATTGACATCTTTTTGTTCTTCAAAACCATCGCCTGTGTTTAACTTCTTGCTCTCAAAATCTTCAAGCCATGTGTCTAAGATGCTTGTTGAAATGTGAGCCATTCTACAATGGGTTAAAAAATGGAATACCTGCAGCTTTTTCCCAACCATTCTTCAATGGATTCTTCTCGAAGTTGTTCCATGTTAATCTGGAAAACGATGCTGATTAAAAAATGATAATAGAAATTTCAATTAAAGAATCGGATATAATCCAGTGTAATTTGTTTGAAAAGTTTGGTAACTCAAGGAATTTCATTATTTCTTGGACCTGGACATTTCAAAACCAACACATTTTCATGTGAATTAATCAATACTCCGAAAACATGACAGCCAAGAAAAGAAAATCCAACTTGGACTTGGAGTAAAAATGAACACTATTTTCCAAGAAAATTAGAGCAGATAACATTCAGGTGAACCACAAACAAACCAAATTCTCTTAACTCACCGATTTTCAATCGAAATAAAGACTACTGCACAATAAAATTCAGAAGAACTTTTTAAAATTTTTGCAGAAGATTGACTTAACACGTCTTCTTGTAGATATTTCAACGAAATGTCTAACTGTGCGCTATTATGACGTTATAATTGCTTCGATTGTTCCCATCAATATCCCCCCCCCCCCCCCCCCCCCCCCTACCAATTTATTCTGTTGAAAGTTATGATGATAGATATTGAAAACACTTAAACAGACAACCCTTTCATGCTGCTTATCCTGCAATTAAAGCTATCATTTGTGAATAAAGTTTATTATGTTAGATTTTTAGAGTATTAAACGTATGTGTAAGGAATTAATTTAATTCTACAAGCTGCTCATATTGCAGCTCATGTTGTTTCAAAATTCGATTCAACTGATGCGTATCTTTCACTTAAAGCTATCATGTCTGAAGAAAGCTTTTAATGTTTTAATATCCTATTTAACCGATGTGTATGGGGAATCACTTGCAGTGGCGGAGCCAAAGGGGTGGAAGAGGGGGCAGCCCCCACCGAATGCAAGTTTTTCGGGAAAAAATCTCAAAACTAGTTTTATAAACTTGGGGAAAGCTTTCATCCATTCATATTGAAAAAAGTCTTCGGAATATCGACTGTTGGAAATCACTTGAAAACAGAGTTGGATTGTTCTGGAGTTTTTACAGTCTAAAACTTGAACGCGTTTTTAACATAGAGGTAATAATATTATTATTACCTCTATGGTTTTTTAGAACAAGGGCAATAACTCAAACTAAGATATTTTTCGATTCTTCTGACTTTCGATAGGGTTAATTCTTGGGTGATTACCAACACCCATGCCAAGTTTCGTCAAAATATATCAAGAATTGTAACCTCTAGAGTGTTTTTTGGCTAAAAATTGAATTATTTTTCGATTTTTCTGATTTTCAATAGAGTTCATCCTTGGGTGATAACTAAAACTGTCAAGAATTGTGCCTTTTGGAGTGCTTACAAGCTAAAATTGAACGCGTTTTCAAGAAAAAGGGCAATAACTCATACTAATTATTTTTCAATTTTTTTGATTTTCAATAGGGTTAATCGCTTGGTGATAAACATTTACACCAATTTTCATCAAAATCCGTCAAGAATTGCACTTTCTTGAGTGTTTGTGAGAATTTCAAGAACAAGGGCAATAACTCATACTAAATATTTTTCTGAATTTTAATAGGGTTCATCCTTGGTTGATTACAGACAATCACAACAAGTTTCCTCAAAATCAGTGAAGAATTGTGCTTTACGAGCAATTATGGGCGGACAGATGGACATGGTTGATGAAAATATACGCGCCCCCCCCCCATTTCATGTGACTGTATAAAAACGTTGTATCGCTCTTACCCTCTATGTATTCATTGTTTGGAGAAGGTTGTAAAATGAAAATAATGACACATCTTTAAATCATAATTAAATACTTTATTAACAATGTTATGTTATAATATTAATTACAGAAAATAAATACTAAAAAACTAAAAATATATCACACACACAAATATCCCTGAATAAACACACTGAGATTTGACCATAACCCCTTCATTCCAATGTGTTAATGTATAGAACTTCTTCTGACAATTTCATTGGATATGTATAGCAAATTAAGCAAACCATTTGATTAATTGGTGTTTCTAATGAATTATCATTTTGTTCTTGTTGCATAAGGAGTTTTAATCATTCCTAAATGTCCATGTATGTACAGTCTGGATAAACAAAAAAATACTTTTTGACCTTTCTTATCGGTCACTTATTGGAATTCTGCTAGTAATTTTCTTCTAATTTAGCTAATTATGAAGTAATTATGGACATGTGAGACAAATTGGAATTTTTCCACGACATAAGAACACATCTACTTTCTATTCATATAAGTATTAGCATTTTCATGAGCGTAAATGAAAATAAGGAAACCCATCTTTTTAAGGAAACCATTTCAGCCAATTTATTCATCCAATTTTTTAAGCCAGAAAATTCAGTTAAAAACTGGCTAGCTGAAAAAATCTGATAAGAAAGTTGATTTCAGACACAAGCCAGTTACATTGTGCCATAAAAACCCCAGTGATCTATATATCAATGTCATTATAAACATGTAAATGTCATTGCGTAGGTATGTTTTGCGTTGATATACTCTGAAATTCTTTTAATTTAGTAAATGAATACATAACTGAAACAAGTAAGACATTAATCACTACTGTCTTTGCAAGTTGGTTGGTTTTTTCGAATTTTACCAATTATTTTTATGAGAATTGAAAAATCACCTTTAAAATAGTACTGTCAGTCTTAGAATATCTTTGCATTGATAAATATTTAAACATGAGAACACAAGATTTTTGTCACAATTTCTTGGAAGTTTTCTATTTAATGTAAATTGACAATGATTTACATTAATGCAAAGACACTCTAAAACTGTCAGTACTGCTTTAGAGGGGCATTCCGCTTTGTTGTAAAACATTTTCATTATTGAAATAATTATAGCTGAAAATATTTCTAAAATATGCTATATATATCTATGTATACTCTTGATCAAACTGAATTTGTTTCAGAAGGGTTAATTAAAAACTGAGAGTACTAATTGTTAATTAAGAAGTTTGACCTAGTTTTGGTGATTGGCTTTATAATGGCCTGTTATTATTAGTTGAAATCTTTAGAAAACGTAGGAGAAATATTTCTCTACAATTAGGCTTTTATTTTAATCAAATCCGTACAGTAGTTTTTTAACAGCTTCCAAAAAAGCCTAACGAACTTTAAAATGTTAAATAATCTTATACATAATATTATAAGTTAAAACTTTCAGATACATTATGGGATAGATTTTGGTTTAAAGTTTGCACAAATTTTAGCAAAAAAAAATTTCGACCAACAATAAACACCGAAATGTCCTTTTAAAATTATAACTGATAAAGTCTGCCAATGGCAATATAGCAACGAACTTACAAACACATTGGATAACCCAAATACCAAATAGAAATACTGTTGAGGATAAGATCTATTAAGCCATTACTTTGCAGTCCCTTTCACATCAATTTCTCAAGTGCCTCACTTAAAATGATATAACAAAAATTTGCTTATCAAGCTGATAGAATTCTGTTTCAGCTGCCCAAAGTATTTTTCGGAAAAATTAAAAATGTCCATGCAGTCTAAATATCTTATTTATTCCTATTGTAATGAATAAACCCATTATCAAAAAACTACCACTGATGTTTTTAGAATATATTCGTGGATGACTAGTTGGAAGCTTTGTCGAAAAAATACTCAGTTTCACATTTAAGAATGTAAATCTGACATGTGGTTTACAGACAATTACATGAAGGATTTCAAAATTGAGGTCTATCAGCTGATAAAGCAAAAATGTCAAAGAGGGGTTAATAATTAAAAACAAAATCATCACTCATTCTTTTATATTATGGACAAAAAATTGAGACAAGTTCCATTCAAACAAACTTTTTCTTCTCAACTTCATTTATTCATAAACTTCTCAGAGAGAATCCTGGGAGGCGCTCGATTGGTTAGTTCTGAACAGGTTCTGACCGTTCCAATCCAGGCTTCAATTGAATGGTACAGAACATCAAATGTCTTTGAATTCTGTCTACATCTAATTTTTTGACATTTTAAATTCTGTCTACATCTAATTTTTTGACATTTTAAATTCTGTCTACATTTAATTTTTCAACATTTTAAATTCTGTCTACATTTAATTTTTCGACATTTTAAATTCTGTCTACATCTAATTTTTCGACATTTTAAATTCTGTCTACATTTAATTTTTCAACATTTTAAATTCTGTCTACATCTAATTTTTCGACATTTTAAATTCTGTCTACATTTAATTTTTCAACATTTTAAATTCTGTCTACATCTAATTTTTCGACATTTTAAATTCTGTCTACATTCAATTTTTCGACATTTTAAATTCTGTCTACATTTAATTTTTTGACATTTTAAATTCTGTCTACATCTAATTTTTTAACATTTTAAATTCTATCTGCATCTAATTTTTTGACATTTTGAATTTTGTCTACATCTAATTCTTCGACATTTTAAATTCTGTCTGCATCTAATTTTTTGACATTTTGAATTTTGTCTACATCTAATTTTTCGACATTTTAAATTGTGTCTACACCTAATTTTTTGACATTTTAAATTCTATCTGCATCTAATTTTTTGACATATTGAATTCTGCCTCAGCTAATTTTTCGACATTTTGAATTCTGTCTACACCTATTTTTTTTTGGTACATATGGAATGCATTCTGAACCCTATTCCAAGTTGTTTTTATTGTACTTCTGGTTAACCATGAATCTGAACATGCAGAACTTGCCAATTGAGCACCTTCTTGGAGATGCCTCATTATTTGTCTTCAAAGACACAATACCACAGTTCTCTGGTTTTCATTATTATTGAACACTGTTTGCAGATCACATGATGGTTTACTGATGCATCATCATCTGCATCAACCTTAGCTATCTAGAATATTGGCATGTCAGTTTCTTCTTTTCATTTAGTTGAACCAACTTCTGTACGCAGCTTACTGGGACTGTACTAATCCTGCCATATATCACCTTATTTGGTGCTTCTTCTCTGTATAATTGATCAGGATTTCGGACAGAGTCTCAAAAGTACTGAAAGACACGGCGGCCATTGGTATAACACGTATATAATTTATACTAAGACCCCTATACAAACCATTAACTATACCATTTTCTTGTTTTATTAAACGCAGTGTTTCAACCCAGCCTCTACAATATATAAGAATATATATATATATATATATATATATATACAGTCATTTAAAGACAAACCAGTTGAAATGAAAATGAGTTCAACATCTTACTATTCTCTACCTAATATGGCTGATGAAAAACGGACACGGCCATTCAATGGACAATGCAGGAAATTAAGGGGACTTTAATATGCACAGCGGCTGTAATAAAGCTATTGTAATGCCAAGCAGTAATTGATGGCTTTGTATTCCATTTGATATTAAATGCCAGGTTTACCTATACTTGATGTCCTACTTAGAGGATAATGACCATTTGAGCAGCCCCATTGGTCATGACTGGCAAATACAGCCAAATCAACAGCCCTGCCACAACATGTAGTCTACTATCATCTCTGTATTGAAAAATGTGCCTTGCTCATTTATGTGCTTTTAAAAAATTATCTCATTTTTGTGCACCACTAAACTGATAATAAAAGAATTGTAACTTACTGTTGTTCATATTTATGTGAATCAGGTAATAAAACAGAAACTTGTAATCTTCTTCTAACAATATCTAATGGATATCTATTCAATTAAAAATTATATTTAGTTGTAACAACCATTTTTACAATTACAATACAATTAAGGTTCTCTGGGATCCTGTCTAGCAGCTTAGCAAACCCTCCTTGGCATAACTCTTTCTAATGCAAATTACGTCATCCATTGCGATTGCGATGTCATATGAATCAATAGCTGATGTGACGTCACTGAACATCAGATCAAAAGCGAAAAAATGGGCTTCAAAATGCCCTTGCTTAAATGTGTGATGGTAAACTTCATCTAAGGTATCATTGAATAGCTAAATCAACTTTTTTAATATATGATTAGTTTTGAGCTTCTAGGACTGGAGAAAGTGACTTTAAAGACGTCAAGGCAATGATTTTACTGCAGTGACATCACATTACCTGTGTATGTTTGGTTATGTACGGAGCCCCTTAAGCGCAATTTTCAACACTTTTTATTATTATTTCGTTTGAACAAATTAATTTTTTCGTCTATTTCGTTGAAACGAAATAATTAACCCATCTTTTTATTTCGTTTAAACGAATTAATTAATTAACGAAATATGTTCAAACGAAATAAAAAGATGGGTTAATTTTATTTTACACGAATTAATTTTTTCGTCTATTTCGTTGAAACGAAATAAATAACCCATCTTTTTATTTCGTTTAAACGAAATAATCATTTAACGAAATAGTTGAAACGAAATAATAAATAAATATGAATAAAAATGAAAATGAATATAAATAAAAAAATATAAGGTCTATTCTGAGGGTTTCGACTAAAAATATTGAGCCATTTTAAAGCAAAACACCAAAACTAGGTAAAACTGCTTAATTAACAATTAGTACTCTCCATTTTTAATTAACCCCTTCAAAACAAATTCAGGTTGAGCACATGTATACATAAAAATTAGATATTTCAGAAATATTTTCATGTATAATTCACAATGTTTTGATTTGGCATACTGTCCCTTTAAAGATGGGTTTCCTTATTAGTGTCCAATAAAGCAAACTATTTGATTAATTGGTGTTTCTAATGACTTATCATGTATTCTTAATCATATCATTATTTTCTTATATTGCATATAATTAAGTGTTTTAACCAATCATAAATGTCTATGTATGTACATACTGGATAAACAAAAAAAAAAGGCTTTTTGATCTTTTTTGATCGGGCACTCATTGGAATTCTGCTGGTGATTCTCTTCTAATATAGCTAATAATGAATTTATTATGGACATGTGAGACAAACTGGTATTTTTCCAAGTCATTAGAACACCTATTCTTTCTAATCATATAATTTTTAGCATTTTCATTTTCATAAATGAAAATAAGGAAACCCATCTTAAAGTTCATTCAGCTAGTAATAACTAGATATTTAGAAAGAGTATATATCTACATACGTGATTGTTTGAGACACAGCCCCTGATATCCCTCCGCACACTAATTTAGTAGGTATATTTAGATTTATCTGCCCTTTGTTTTTATCACATGGTGTACCACACTGGTCAGGAAAGTACTTTAAACAAATTTCTTTTAATGTTCCAAAACAGAAAAATGAAAGACCTACAATATCAAATTTATAATTAACTACTATTTGTTATTTGAGAAAAAAAAACATTGAATATAGAAATATATAAAGTATTTAATATTTTGTTTGGCCTCCATCTGTCTGTACCACAGTCTGCATTCTTGGGGTGAATGAATACAGCAAATTTGCCTTATTACATTGGTCCCCCTTCATGCAAAAACAAAAACAAATAACAAGTTTTCAATATATCAGAAGAGAAGAAATACTGAAGAGGTGACAGAAGTACTCAGTAAACTGAGGTGTTTTATTATCAGCTTTTTTCCCCAATACCTTTGAAGAATACCCCCTATATGCCTTAAACATGTACAATATAGAACGGATGAGGGATGATAATTATATATAAGCACAGGGAAATGAATTAAAAGGCTAGAATTCAAGTTATACATTATGAGTTGGCATTGTTGTCAGTGGCGGAGCCAAAGGGGTTGCTGCCCCCCCTCGCAGACCTGAATGCAAGTTTTTCGGGCAAAATCTCATAACTAGGTTAGAAATTCGGGCAACCTAAGATATTTCGTCCGTTCAAAAATTTCTTACCTGAATAAGGTACCATTCCAATCATAGTAGGTACAATACCTCTATATAAAGCTTTCATACCACCTTCAGAGTATATCATACATTTCAACAGATGTCTTAATCCCAAATATCTATGTTCCCCTGTAACTTGAAACGCTAATCGAGATCGAGCTATATCTAATGGATAAGTGAACAATACAGCAGTTAAACCTGAAAATAAGGTAAAAATAATAGAACATATGAAAAGATTTTTCATTATAACTATGTATCAATTATGCCTGAAAATTGTATTTGTACTCTCATATCTGCATACAATTAATTTCTTTAAGCCATTGAGAGAGTTTAAGAAATGTTATCTAATAGAGCCACCACTGTCTTGGCTACACATCTTGCTACACCTATAATCAATTGTTATTGTTGCCTATATATTTTCTAGTTACTTGTTTGTATTATTATATTCCTGATGACGGTGTGAGAACCACATTGAAACGTTGAAGTAATAAATATTCCAGAAGTATATATCCATATAATTGTCTTATTTATCTATAACTTGTGCTTCTAACATGCCATTGAAGGATTATAATCAAAGGATTTTCATTATCAAGAGTAACAGATTGAGTTATAAGATATAAGGACTAAAAATGATGTGTAAATAGCTTATTGTAAATGAGATAACATCAACCATTTAGGTAGGGCATGGAGATACTGGTTCTAGTGGATATCACAATATCAGTCATTAATATAGCCTATCACGATTTTGGAAAAAGTTTAAAATGAAATGAATGGAGTTATACATCCTATTTTTCTGCACCATGTGAGCTAATGAAGACCCAGCCTGTGCTTCTCAGGGCACATTCAAATGTAGGAACAAATAAAATATAAATACCTGCTACAGATCCAGCTGCTATTCTGTTTATATGAGGATGTGATCTTGTGTGTCTGTTAAATATCTGTAATAATAGAGAAAGAAAGATACATACTACCATGGAAACCTCTACTGATTCCTTTCTACCAGCTGATCCTTTTTTGACCGATCATACCTTAGTCACAGAAACTTGTATTTTTTTAGCTAAGCTTATCAGTAATAGTGTTCACAGCTCACCAACGATATTTGAGCCAAATCCATGTGTGTACAGAATTATCTGCATTTGAATGTTAAAATGACGACACGACATATTAAGATACTCTGTGATATAGAAGTATATAGAAATAGAAAGTAAAATACGCAGTTTGCAGTACATTTCTAGTACTTCAAGACTAAGAAAATGACAAACCTGTCCCTTTAACCAAACCCCTTTCAATCATTTCCTATACTGCAAATGACGATCAGCTGGTTCAAGGAACCAAGAAGATATCACAAAATTGCAATTTTTAGTGGTTCAATCAACCTTATTCACGATGGGGGAAACACGTTAACCAGTGATTGATGTTCCATAAAGCTGTGTCTATATAAGGTCTATAAAGGTTAAAGCAACCATTGAGCATTGGCACACATGTTAATTAAAGTCAAAAACATAAAATTTGAGACCTACTATTTTACATCTTTCATTGATAAAGAATTGTATACCAGAGTAAGGGAATATCCTGATCATTTGAACACCATTTCCTTTATAAAAACCTAGAAATCCTTCCTTTCTATAGATTTCAATAAACGTTCTTCCAATACCTGCATAAAAAATAGAATAGATCACAAATATATACATGTACATCTTGAACTCATAATAAACCTTCTTCACGTCTCCTTTTTGAGACAATGAAAGCGAGGTTCATAACACAAAAAATGTCATCCATTGATAAGATGGCAAGACGTTAAGGTGGCGATTTTATGCAGTGACACAATGGTATGTTGTGTGATCCTCGTTCTGGATTCAATATGGTAGACGCGTGAATAAGGTCTATTAAACTGAAGCCATAGTAAAGTCATGGTGATTCACATAGTTGCATGTTTCACATGTTTCAGATACACAGTCTTCATCAGGAAAGCTAGTTATGGAAATACAAATTCCTTTTGATGGTTTGGAACAAGCTACCAACTCAAGATTTGGATGTTAAAATTCAGCATCTGGTTGAAATGAGGATGTTACACTAATACATAGCCTTATAATAAGCTTTGAATATAATGTGTTTTATACTTTATTCCAACATTCTACAGGGAGCAGCGGTGGCTCAGTGAGTTAGACGCTTGCTCGCTAACCTGAAGGTTCAGGGTTAAATCCCGGCATAGGTCGAGATAATCTCGGATTTTTCAACCCAGTTTCCCCTGTCAGTGATACAGATACAAGGGCTGACATGGAATAAGTGTCAAGTCATTCGGATGGGACAATAAACCGAGGCCCTGTGTGCTACAGGCTGTGCACTTTAAAGATCCCTCGACAGTTGGAAATAAAAAAAGAACAGGCTAATGCCGCTGTCCTGGCAAAATTTCCCTCATTGTACATGCATGGCGTTGCCTGTCTTCATTAGCCCACATTGTACAGAAAAGTAGGACGTAAAACTCCATTGATTTCATTTTTTTTTCCAACATTCTACAAGTAACTTACCTAAATATTAAAGAGACAACAATTGTTATGGATATAGACTTCTATTTATTCCTTTTGAACACAACATTTCATTACACATACAGGTAATATTCTCTCACTTGTGTTGTCTATATCCATAACAATTTTGTCTCTTAACGTGCAGTGATACTTTCAAGTGTCTTATAAGGATTAACTTACCTAAATGTTTATAGTGTTGATTATGAGCTTGTAATAATATTTTAATTCTATCTAATGGAGCCACCACTGTCTTGGCTACACATCCTGCTACACCTATAATCAAATGATTTTCATTATCAAGAGAACACATTGTGTTATATGATATAAGGACTAAGAATAAAATGTAAATGGCTTATTCTAAATGGGATAAAATCAGCCATTTGGGTAGGGCTTGGCGGTACTGGTTCTAGTGGATATCACAATATTAATCATTAATATCACGATTTTGGGGATGTAATAATAATTCAATAACATTCAGCATATCATACCTCCAGATGCAAAGCTAATAACTGGATATTTTGGGTTAGACCCATTATCTAGTGTTGGCTTCTTGTCTTTCAATGTACTCATTTTCTATTTAACACCAGAAAATATGTCCATTCTTAGCATCTTCTTTAATGATGATAACTGAACTCCATTCTCAGTACCTAGAAAATCAATATTGACATAAATAATTTTTTCTGAAATTAATTTCCACCTACTGTACCATGCATACACAGCAGCGCCAACCTCCCAAGTGGAGGCACATATAGGGGGCAGACTGACACAATTTTCAAGGCTGAATTCAAAATGCATGCAGCAACTTTGTTGAGGTGCCATAGTCGTAAACCTCTTATGGAGTGTCCGAGATGGTTCTCTAAAGAAAATTTTCAAAAAATTTAAATTAATTATTTAAAGGCAAAAACATGTAAATATTGTAATTTTAAACTTATCAAAATAAAGTATGTAGGCCACATTTAGGGGATCATACCATTTCTCTAAAGGAGGGGGTGGGGGCTAATGTACCCCCTCCCATATATCCCCACTGTATACTCTATCCTGTCTCTGATAGCTATTGTGAAAGTTATCATTGAAGTAGGGTCAGAAGTATTAGGTATGGGTTATCATGGACACATTTATTTACCTCAAATCCACTAAACCCTGATGATGGGGCATCATTGCTGCTTTCATTTTGCAAGTATCACTTGACTCTGTGAGTGACTCTTGATCCTTTGATGCAGTCTGTGATGACTGGTGAGAGATAAGTTTCGTTAAAATCCTTTGATGGAACACAGTGTTGGGAAAAAATGATTGTATGTAAATAAATATGTTTAGAACCCAGGCTACACCTTTGGCTGATACCTACCACAGCTGACAAATGCCAAAAAGCTATAAGAGGAAACGGTGCAGATGTTTCAGACTACCGATATCAATGTCAACCATGCCTTCAACATCTTATCAAATGATTGAAAAGCAGTCCGTGACAGCCTGAGTCTGTGCTTAGTTTTGCACTCTACTAAAATCTGCTTACACACTTTACTCACCGACCATTTACTTTAGTATAAAAGTAGCAGAAGGGCCAAATTTAAGGATTATTCTTCTCGCTAAAATGATCAAATGATATTTTTATTGTCAAAGTCAAAGAAGTCGTTACAGGTTAGACTTGACAACTACTAATGTCATTTTGAAAATGTAGTCCTAGACTTTGGTCACAATCTTGGTAAATAGTGTAGGCCTACAGGTTTGTTTACGTTTAGTTTCGTATATAAATCCATCTCCTTGAAATTTAAATTTTCGTTTTCTCCATTCAATTTTATGTGACCAGTCGGCTATTTCTTAATTTTATAACAGCAGTTTTTTCCCATTTCATCAAACAGCAGATTTTAATGATTGACTACGAAATCAATTCCACTAGTACAATATAGTCTGCACTTTGCAAGCAATCATGGCTTCCGCCGCTGAAAGGAGAGAAGCAAGGAGGCAAAAAATCCTTCAGAATTCTGAAAATCGTATGAAAGTATTACTCGGAGAAAGTAATTGGTTTGATTTATTATTCTAAAACGGTTATAATGGCTGAGATATATGCTTTTCTAGATTATAGAACTTAATTTCGTGCTTATTCGTTTTAACATTTCAAAGAAAATACAGTCAAGTTCGTTTACAATTTAAACAGAAAGAGGGGACTGAGATCACTTCCACTCCAGGCTGACATTTAAAATTCTGACTGGCAATTATTTCTGAGGAAACCATATTTATATGAGAAATATCTGATTAAGTAAGGTTAGACAAGACGTTTGTAGACAGTAGTAGTTTATTAAGGGCTGAATGAGGGGTCTACAAATAGGCCTAGTTCGAAAAGTATCTTAAATTAACCATTCATCATTTTAACATTCAAATGAAGAAAATTCTGGACACACATGGAAGTGAGCTGTGAACACTATTAAAGTATTATTAATAAGCTCAGCTGAAAAATTCCAGCTTCTGGAATCGTCCAGCCCTAACCTGACCTCTCCACAATAATCTTTACTATGCAAATAATGTAATTAATATAAACTACTGAATAAATTTCTTTTTTTTTTTTTTTTAGAAACAGACACTCAAAATGTGAGGGAAACACTCAACAGTGAAGCTGAATCAGAAAATGTTACATCAGCTCATGAAAGCTCACTTAATAGAAGGTTACATGAACCAGATATTGTAAAACCCAAAGAACTAGATGAAGTATCAACAGCTTCTTCAGCTGTTCCAGATGGTGACATCCCAAGACTTTTATCTTCTAGAAAGGGATCCCCAACAGTTAAAATTCAAAAACTCTCACCTGTGCCGAAGGAAATTCATGAACCCACTGTAAATGTCAAGAAGGTCCCAGAGGCCAAACCTGAAGAACTATGGAAGATTTTCGATTTATTACGATTTGGTGCAATGATTTTGTTAGCTGTTGTTGTAAGATGGCTGTTATCCTATGGTTTTGGATTATTTTATGTTAAGGTGAGCTTATTTACTAGATATTTACTGGTAGGTACAGTGGTGTAACCTATTTTCGTGGATATAAGGATTCAACACCTAATTTCGTCAAAGTTAAAAAAACGAAAAAAAAATTTTATGCCTTAGATGTTTCCTCAGATATTCTACAAAATAATTAAAATTAGTTTATTTCGATTTTCTTTATGAATCCTTCACTTTGACCCATATTTCATGAGCAACCAACTCAGCAACGGCGACAGAATGCGTCACCTATTTTCGTGTACAATGTTTGATCTATAAGTCGAGAAAAACACGTTGTATGGATACTGGGTGGTATAATTAACTTCTCTTAGTATTTATCTTTAATATCAATTCATTATAACTAATGACAATTCCTTCAAAGAACCACGATTTGAAAAAAAATAGTGACTGACAAAATAAGATACGTAGCGTGATTTATTGCTAAAAGTCACTGTAACAACATAAGAATATGGTCCACTTTGTGTTCCATAGAAAGTTTCTGCTGACAAGGAATCCGCTAGTTGATCACGTGACTTCATTCGTTGGACTACATTCTAGCAGACGACACTTGGAATTCCGATTACCGCTTGGGATTATAAGGAAATTCGGCCGATAAAAAATGGTGACGTTTGGTAATAACTGAAATCCGCCATTTTGTATTTGTCAAAGTATACATTATTACACTTTACCTTGCTTGAAACTACTGAATTCATTCTACTAGCTGATATTATACAGAAAACCCGTGTTTATCAAAACAAACTAATGCGGAGGTCGCGCAAGGTCGCTCATGTAAATTGTTAATCATTTCCGGAAATCCACGAATAATAGGTTTCCACGAAATTAGGTTACTTTACTGTATATTTACATTTTTAGGGATTGATTTGGGACTTTAGAAATGTACAAAATCGCCTAAATACCTCAAACTAGGAACTATACTTCCTATTTCTATTTCTCAAATAAATAATTCAGGACACACAGATTTGAGGGCTCAAATTTCAACAGTAAACTGTGAACACTATTACTGATTGGCTTAGCTAAAAAAAAAATGCCATTTCGGAGACTAAGGTATGATCGGTCAAACGAATGGAAAAACTGTCCCTTTAAAAGTAGTTTTATCAAGAACTTTATAGAATTAGTGTTTAAATTGTTTCAGATACATTGCAATAAAATTATTTTGTATAATTTTTTACTCTGTTATATTTCAGTCCATTTTTATCCCATTTATTGCTACAGAAATTGCCATTTATGCCTTTCAACAGATCAATATGCAGGTATGTACATACATGTATTTGGTTGGTCAAAATTGAGCAGTAAGGATATTCTGGTCTTGTTTCTCTTACGACAATTCAGTTACAAAATCATATTTTGAGTTGTTACCCTTTTTCTGAGAAACCTCAGAATTGTTGTATTTACTGTTAAAGTGAGTAATAAAGAGTTTTTCTAAACTTTTTATGTGTATCTGGGACACTGATAGCATCAATTTGCAGCATTCCAATTTCCATCCCAACGTCTGTGGTTCTTGTAATTCAACTAAAACTAAAATGTTTTATGATGTCAGTAGAGGAGAACTGAATAATTAATAGTAGCTTCTGATAGCTCCCCGACCACAGACATCTGAATGAAAATTGGAATGGTGTAAATTGAAACTATCAGTGTGCCCGATACACATAAAAAAATTTAGAAAACCTCTTTAACATTTTCAATAAATTTGGTAGAAATGTAAGCTTTTGTCATCAATTAGCACTGTCAATGCCAAGAAAAATATCACAAATTATTTATCTTGTTTTTTGAAATATTCATTAACTTCTTGTAGTTACAATATCAGACAATTTTTGGATACAAGGTTGGACAAATGGACATTATTACTCATTGATTTGTGGTTGATGCACCTCCTGCGACCCCCCTTTTCAGAAATTATATAGTAAATATATATTTTTACAATATAACAAATATTTTATATTACAGAATATTGTTTTGCCTCAAAAGGGATCTCTTCTATCTAGTGCCTTGATGTTGTGTGGTATAAAACCTGATGTTATTAAACTATATAATCGTGTGATGAGCTATATATCAGCTATATCTGAAGATTGTGCTATTTATCTATTTACCTTTGTTCTATGCAATATTGTTATGGCTCTGCCTGAGGAATAGCAGATTTCTTACTATTAACTTGGTTTGGTTCAACACCCCCAGTGATTATCTTGTAGAATTTTTTTCTCAGCAAGTTTGATAAGAATCTACAATATTGTCAATTAGAGAACAATTCCTTGACCATGTTGAATGAATATCTGAAAAGAGATCTTGCTCTTACTGACGGCAGATAAATGTCTTCTACTTGTTATTAGTTATCGCTAAAGGTAGTTAAAGAAGGCCCAAGATCCTCATTCGATATTCAACATTTGTGAGTGCTGCCGTTTTAAACTAAATGAATCTAAACTTGATAGGCATTGTGATATCATAACAGAAGGTTGCCCTTGCTGCTGAATCATCAATGTGCGAACTTTTACAGTGAGGTTCAGTCTTGATCAATAGTGCGGGCACAAGAACAGTCTTGGTCACTGATTTTTGTCGTCGACTCAAATTTCGAGTAAAAATATAAAGTGAAGTGAAAAACCATGGTTGACAGAAAAGGGTGGTACGATTTTTTTTAGGAGTTGAGTGAAACAAGTACAATGGTAAATAATAGATTCCAGTTTGATCCCCATAATGCATCATTCCTAGAGGTTTCCTTTTAGTTTAGGGTAGCGCTCAATTGGTTAGTTCTGACTTTAATTGAATGGTACAAAACTGGATGTCAACATTCAAAATTCAATTAGGGAGGGCCTGCTTTGTTATTTGGAATTCCAGGAGTTGAAATGGAGTTAAAAAAAAGATTACTTTTGAATTGTTTTATTTTAAAAATATACTGTATAGACTACATTCACTCATGATTATTACACACAGTCAATTTTAAATCAGAATATGAATCCTAACTGATATTCTGGAGCCAACATGTTTGTGGCTATCTAGAAATATACTCAAAACAAATACAAAGAGTTCATTCTATTGTATTGAATGACCAAATTGTGGATCTGCATTGTATTATTTCTACTTAAAGCAAAACAAAGTGCTCTATGTTCTGAAACATGCACAAATTTGATATTCAAATATACTTTACTTATCATGCTTATAGCACTGTTTGGGAACACTCCCTGCCACTTACTGAAATGAGATTTCCAACTGCACACACATTTGATATTTAATTTTGACCATATAGAAATTATGTGATTCAAGTCTTGGCTTTAAAGGAATATCATCCTCACAGTAGGTACTAAACCAGGTAAAAAAAATTTCACCTTGTAGATTTAAAAAAAAAAAAAAAATATCTTTTTCAAAATTTAAGATAAGATGGGTTTCCCTTATTTTTTAGTGTCAAATTAAACAAACTATTAATGATGTATCTAATGAATTATGTATTCTTAATCATATCATTATGTTCTTATTGCATATAATTAAGAGTTTTAACCAATCATAAATGTCCATGTATGTACAGTCTGGATAAACAAAAAAGACTTTTAACCTTTCTTGATCGGTCACTCATTGGAATTCTGCTGGTAATTCTCTTCTAATTTAGCTAATGAATTATGGACATGTGAGACAAACTAGAACACCTCCACTTTCTATTCATATAAGTATTTGCATTTTCATTTATGAAAATAAGGGAACCCATCTTAATACAAAGATTGATTTCTTTTCTTTATTCAGGTCTACTGGATGTTAAAGTTGAAATATCCCTTAATAGAAATTGACTGTGAAGGATTTTAATTAGATTCTTTTAGTCATAAACTCAATATATGAGAAAATAATATATAAAAGTATGAATGGAGAAAACTATTATATAGAGCATTCCTAGAAAATAAAACTATATCAAACTTTACATTATTTTGTTTCAAAACCCATATGTATATAAATGCATGGAAGCTTACATTTTGCTTTAAGAGGTACTTTTTCATAGATTCATTGAAACAAGAGGTTGATTTGGGTATTGGAATATATGTAAATAATACAAAAAATGTATGAAAATCACATAATTCCTACAATACCTCAAACTGGGAATTTTACTTGTCTATTTCTATAATGTCTTCACTGTATATATGACAGTCTTAAGAATAGACGAGTTGTCATTTTAACATTCAAACAGGGATATCTTTGGACACATATGGAATTGAAGGTTCCATTTTTCCATAGCGAGCTGTGAACACGATTTCTGATTAGCTTAGCTAAAAACATTCCTGTTTCTGAGACTAAGGTACAATTGGTCAAGCGAATGGCAAACCTGTCCCTTTATATATATCATAGTAGACAAGATTCAATAAAGATCTATAGGAAAAGAGCCATCAAAAGTGGAGACTTATGATCTTATTGGACTATTTACATCAATGAATTTCTTACTTTCGTTATCTTTTGGTTTTGAGAATTGTCGTGCTAATCATAATAATCGGCAGTGCTGATTTAAAATGATGCTCGACAATTTCCTCAAACTTAGTGTAAATTTCAAATTTCTATATAATATTTGAAATAAAAATGTCAAGGCATTATTGAAATTAATGATTATATTATAACACGAAAGATCATCTCCTGTTTATATGTAATAATTACACCTTTCAATAGTTTTATTTAGGATTGATTATCCAGACCTTCTCCTGTCTTCTACAGATATGGACTATGGTATTGTTGTTCCGTACATTTTCGAATTCCGAAACCTCAACTTTTGTAACATTATGAACAACCAGAAACACAGATAGTACACAATCATCCAATTATATTAGATTTGGTTTTCCATATCTAGTTGACAACTTAAAATCGCATTAGGTCACCACATAAAATTATGGACTGAATACCGCCAAATAATCAAACAGGACTCAACAGTTTTAGGCAAGTTGTACAAGTATTTTTTTTTCCCTTTCAAATGTATCTTGTGTTTTGTATGATTCTTAAAGATACATAGTATAGACTACAACAAAGTTCATCTCAAAATGGTACCACTACTTCACATTAACTTCCATTTTCTTTGTGAAAATAAAATAAATGCACTTAAAACTGGTACAGTTCACTTTTTTCCCCTTCTCTTTCGTATCACATCAGTTCTTCCAATATCTATCATCTCTTCTTCCCATTCTTTAATTTCCCTCAAATATCTTTCTCCATCAATTTCAGATTCCTTCAAGTATGGCTATATAAACAATTAAACAATATAATATTTTAATCATTACTATTATGCCTTGATTTGGGTTATAAAGAAAATACACCTCTTAATATTACGCACTGGGTATGGCTCCTATGGAGAGGACCTGAATTTAATATTTTTTTTAAGATACAGCAAGATAGCTTACCAGGCAAGGTAACATACGCCCACTAGTGCCTTAAAAATGAATTTTCAAATAATCAGAGATCAAGGCAAAATTTCAAAAAAATTCATCAAGGTCTCATTGGGTCACACACAGTGACAATAACTCTAAAACCATTCATTAGGGCTGCAACAATGCACCAATGAATCGCGATTTATCCTTCTTATTGATGCATTGCGTAAGATAAAAATAATCATGATGTATCGGTCTGATTAATTCTTAGTCCCCTTTAATAACAAACGACACAGAATCCTTATGTGTATAAGAAATTGTGTCATGTTTTTATTTTGCCAAGTATGATTTTCACATCAAAATTTGAAAAAATTTATTTCTGACTTTAAAAATTGAGATTTTTCTCACAATTTCTTACTTTTAAATGTTCTCAAGTGCTTAATAGTGACAAGATCAGATAAAAGCTGTAGCTGCTATTGTGGACACAAGAAATGTGGACAGACAGGGCAATGGCAATATACATGTAAATGGAGTTCAATTTCAGCTACATTTAAATCTAGCATATTATTCCCTTACAACTGAACAAAAAAGTGCCTGGAAGTGACGACATGCATCTTTCATACTGAAAACTTGAACATCTGACCAATTGCAGAGTAAACAAGTGAGAGTTCTGAGTAATAAAAATCTACCTCTTTTTCTTCAGGTGATAATTTAGAAAACCTTTCAGCAGCTTCACTAAATGAAATAGCCTAAAAGGAAAAATGTTTAAAATGAAAATGACATGTTCACAAAAAAAGGATATTGCTTTCACAGAGGAATCAAAATTATAGCACTTTTATTTTAGCTAATAAGGGCACTAATGCAGAAACTTTATTGCCAGAGCAATATATCAGTCACTCATAGAGCATAAAACAACTTTCAACTTGACAAAATGAAACTTAATTATTGCAGTATTGTCTTTATCATCTACACATACTTAGATTAATAAATATTACAAATGAGTGTTGTGCTGACAAGATTTTCATATTATGCTTTTAATTTCTCATGATACAGGTACATGAACGGTCTTGGTCCTCCATTTTTGTTGCCAACTAGAATCTGGTCATAGAGTTTCATGAGAAAATTAATCTGATTGGATGATGACACTCTGTCTTGCAGACGCTAAAAAAACGGCGACAAATATCAAACTATAGTGTATTCTGTGATATCCGACATCTGAGTATTTCGATATTCTGCGTAATCTGACATCAATTTCTGGTCCAGATTGATTTCCTTCTTAGGCTAGTTTAAAAAACTCTGTGTATTCCAAATTCAACACCAATCAGTGTTCCTGATACTCCAATGCCTAGCAAGATATACGCCTACTTTCCTGATACATTTCAGTATATCAAGGGCAGTCACCTATCTGTGTCAAATCATACCAAAAATCTAATTGTGCAAGATATTGTTGATTTAAACAAACACACAAAATTTAATAAAATTCTGACATAAACTGTTGCCTCTATCACCAACAAATTTTGATACGTTTTAACTAAGTCAAGGGTAATAACTCAAATTCCGTTGATCGAAAAAATTGTCGAATTCAATCTTAAATAAGATCTCAATCATAATATTGATATATTATCAACTTGAAGAACCAAAATGGACATACATGCTTCGAGGTTATATAATCCAAAATAGTGGCTATGAAAACAAAAATACATACATCTTTACCACTACAACTGGCTTTAGTGAAAAAGTTAAAAGCACTTCGCTTAGCTTTTGGTTTTCCTAATCCGGATAACTTCTTTCTCTAAAAATCAAAATTGAACATAAAATTACTTTAGCGATTGATCCATAACCATTTCATTTACAAAAAGGTTTACAAAGGCAATTGTGTGCATTTTCAGAGAAGTCAGTCTTACAGCATTTAAATTCAACACATTCTCTAAGTATTGAAACAAATAGGTATAAGAATTGCAAACTGCTGGCCACAATAAAGCAGGAAATGTACAAAGTTGTAGAATTCTTTCAATAATATCGCAAACTAAAGACCTTTTGTGATAAAGCATATTTAGTAAATTGATGCTATATACAAAATTTAGCTAACCATCATTACAATCCCTTTAAAGGGACAGATTTTGCTTTTCAGGGGTTGATGTAAATAGTCTACAGAAGTACTACTAGAAATGTACGAAAATCGTATAATTCCTTCAAAGATATCTCAAACTAGGAATATCATTTTCTATTTCTAAGACTAGTTGTTATTTTAATTGTCAAAGGTGGATAGTGAGCTGTGAACACTTTTACTGAGCAGTATAGCTAAAAAAAAAAATCCTGTGTCTGAGACAATTGGTAAGGTACAATAATTCGTAAAGAAAAGAGCGATTTTGTCCCATTTTAACTAACAGCCAGTTTTTTTCAATCTTTCTGAAATAATATATCTCAATAGCATTAATATTTTTAGATACCTTCATCTTTCTCCTTGCTTTTTTCGACATATTAATTTCTGCTTTTTGTTCTACTGTTTCTGCTGTTTCTTTAAAATATTTTAATTGTTCATCATATGCTTCTTTTCTTCTTGCAAAATCATTGCTAAATTTCTAAAAAATATTTCAAACTATTTTTTTAGGAAAATTAATTCACAGGAGTTCACCATCACAGTACATTAGCCTTTGATAAGTATTTTTTGTGAAATATTAACTTTGTCAAAAAGTTCTGTTATAATATTTCTAGATCTACGATAGTTAGATGAATTTATTGTAAAATTTCAAATCTTAAAATATTCAGTAATACATTGTAGTGTGATATAGAAATATCAAAACAGAATCTAAAAAACATGTTTCACTCTATGCGATCTTCAGACAACTGACCTATTTTCAGTCTGAAGATTGCATGGTGTGAAACTGAATGTTTTTCTTAAGTTCTGTTTTAATATTTCTTGAACAACAATAGTTAGATTAAACTTTGTACGAGATGAGCCGTGAATAAAAAGTCTATTGCTACTACTAGTAATAATGACAACAATGTGTTGCTGCGTTTCAATATGAATCTAGAAAAAAATTACCATTTAAAATTGCAATTTCAGAGCTTTTAAGACTCGTAATGATGTTTTATGTATTTCAGCCTGTGTCAAAGTTTCACGCTATGCTATCTTCAGTCTTCCAATTACCAAAATTTGAATATAACCACAAAGACAATTAGAGATATAAATCTGTGACAACCTAAACAACTTATATAACCAGACAAGTGTAAGTGATTCAACTGAACAATTTTCTCACAAATCATGCATCACAAACCAAAAAAAATAAAAAACAAAACAGACACAAATCTTTTAAGATCTGTCTGCATTTTCAATCAGATTGATAGAATACCAACCTTTTTTTCATTGGCTTCTAGTTCCTTCCACTGTTGCCCACATTTTTTGTTTAACTCTTCAAATGTCACATCTTAAAAATATTGAATGTTAAGTTTGAAATGCTTGAAGTGAACCGATTTTTGAGTTCATTCGTCATGACTTCAATACCTCATACTTTCAAAGCATTTATATCTGATACCTTGACAAATTACCTAAATATTTCAATGGAACTGAACTTTCACCCACTGATGGATATTTTGACAGTTGTTTGCTGGAGTAGAGTCAGAAGAAAAAGGCCCTGTTAAATGGGGATTTCCACACCTCCAGACATGCGTTTTTTCTAACATTATATGAAATCACCTTTACAATGGCTCTAAATAAGTGTTGGCCATTACCATAACATTTGTTTTGTTAGTATCACATGAGTATGTTACCTTTCACCTTTTGGCTGCGCAAGAAGTTGTAACTGGCCGATTCGAGTAAAGTTTTGTTAAAAAAAAACTTTGATGTAACCAGAGACGTGACAGATGGTGTAGGGAGAAAATGATGGTATGACTGAACTACAAAAATATTCATCTTTCCAAATACATCTTGGTATTGCAGATCTGAGGTACCAGTATCTAAATAGGTTTAAAACCCCTGCACCTGTGGCGATGCGGAATGTCCCCATTTAACAAGGCCTTTTTTTTCTGTCGACATCTGTCTCTATAGGGCCTATAAGCCAAATATGTCATGTTTTTACAAGGGCAATAACTCAAAAAACCATTCATCCCAAATTCCACAAAGATTAGATAAATACTGTAGCCTCAATTTGGACTAGGGTCAATGACAATATAATATTTGTGTATAAAGCTGTGGACAGACTGAGCCGATCGCCATCAAATTTTGCCTAGTGTGTCCAGTGCTACAACAGCAGCGGCCGTAGCCAATTACTAACATCAAGCGTGTTTGATATTATTCACCCGAATATTCATCACTATCGACTCGTTCGGCAAGTGTGTCCACTGTGGCAAAACCTATCGCGTACTTTCCTATAACTCAACAAATCACATGACGAATCGTCACATGACAAATAAAATGGCGACCTCCAGTGATGTAATGTGGAGGCAGAAATGGAAGAGGAATTAATTATGTTATGGGAGTCAAAGCATTTGCTGTAAAACAAAAGACCCAGTTCAACTGTAACTTTTCGCTTCTTCTGGACACAAACATATCTTATCATGTGATTAAGTGACTTGCGCATGCGTAATTTAATTTGCAAACGAGTTATCAACGCAGGCATTCGCCTGCATGTATCAACAAATTCATTCTTTTTAATTTTTCAACATATTTATTTTGAATTGAAATGGTTTCTCTTTTTACCTGGATATTCTTTTCTAATTCTCTCTCTTACAGAATTTGCAAATATGATATATGGACCAGGTGGCTTCTTAGGTCGGCCAATTAAATCTTTTTTCGAAGAACTTATTGAGAAAGCCTTGCATTGAGAAAGGCTTCCCACTCTGAAAAAGAAAATAAGGTCATCAAGATGTTCTTCAATGGGTTTGGGTAATAACAAATTATTATTATTGCCCCTTCAAAAAGGTCTTCTCACTTTTTTATTTTAAACTCAAATATATTCGGAAAGATGGATATTTTTGTAGTTCAACTATATACCATCATTTATTACCCTTAAAGATGGGTTTCCTTATTTTTCCAGTGTCAAATTAAGCATGATTCTATTTGATTAATTGGTGTTTTTATAATGAATTACCATGTATTCTTAATCATATCATTATGTTACTATTGCATAATTATGATTAAAAGTTTTAAGCAATCATAAATACCCATGTATATACAGTCTGGATAAACAAAGAAAGACTTTTTGACCTTTCTTGATCGGTCACTCATTGGAATTCTGCTGGTAATTCTCTTCTTATTTAGCTAATTATGAATTAATTATGAACATATGAGACAAATTGGTATTTTCCTAAGTCATTAGAACACCTATACTTTCTATCCATATCAGCATAATCACTTTTTTTTTTATCATAAATGAAAATAAGGGAACTCATCTTTAAGAAAAAACATAAGTAGCATGATGCCAAAATTAATTCAGTCATCTGGCTGTGAATTTATCATTGTTTACATTTATTATTTGATGATTTTAACCTTGCAGAACACAGTAAATGATTGGCCAGAACTGTTCAGTCGCCTCAAAAAAAGACCCATATCTAAAATAATGACCTGTCATATCACAGTAAATTAGTGTTGGGCATCACCGCTATTTTTCTTTTGAAAGTATTGCATGACCCTGACATATAAAACTGAAAACATAACATATACTGATCATGACAGATGACCAAACTACAAAAATATCTTGGGATGGTTGATCTGAGTTAAATAAAAAATGATTTAAAAAAACATGTGTACACCTTTGAAGAATAAAACCAAATTACAAAGTTTTTCCGACTCTAATCCATAATCCATGGTTCTTACATGGAAATAACACACAAGAACGTAGTTCACAACCAGTTTGATTATCTACCTAACTTCATATACCGGTGCCGGTGTGTCAAATTTCTAAAAAGGCGTTTGCATATTTTATGTTTACATATGTTGAACAAGATCTAGACGCTTTTAGGGTCTTCCTTTGAGTTAGCTCCCACAATTGATCGTTGCAAGCATATTTCCCCGAAAAATTATTAATTTATTTTACTGCGCATGATGAGTGAACGAAATTGCCTGAAAAATAGTGTAAAAGAAACTCGACCAGTTAACCGCTAAATATCCACTGCATAAAATTAAAGATTTCATTCATATTAATGTGGTTTCTTTTTCAGTAAATTTGTTTTTTCTGGAGTTGCTGACCTTTGAGTTTGACCTTTTAGTTGAGCCAAAGTCCCAAAGGAGCATTATTTCATTAAACAAAATCACCCCAATTTCTCAACTTTAACAGAGACATTCTCAATCTGTAAACCGTATTTTCAGCCTATTTTCACTGTTCTAGCATAGTAAACAATGACCTGAACACCCTACCAATCGCATCCTCATCACCGTGCCAGTGGTCTGTCAAAAATCAACTTCTATCAAGTTATCAATATTCAACTGTCAGATGGCTACATTGCGACACGCACTAAAATCCATAACTCATGCAGGTTGCTTATCAGGCTTATAGTTTTACAATAATCACCTGGTTGTCAAACATTGGTTCAGTTTAGACAAAATATCTAAATTAAACTGAAATTTAGCACATGCCGCTTTCACCGCCATTTTCATAAGTCCTCCTAAAGTTACGGTTGTTTGATGCAGTCACGATGCTGATCTTGATTCAAGTAGGGTGGGGGGAAAAAACATAGACATAATTGTTATTAATAGTCTATAAGAAAAAAAGCCCATTCAAAGTGGTCCTTTCAAACGACAAATGGTAACCGTGAAAGTAAGAACGAGATATCAGTCCACTGATGGGCAATTTGAAACAACTTCATCTTTTTTTGGTCATCCTGACTTTAAGGGCTCAGATACCCAAAGAGAAGTTGAGAAAGTGTTTGCAAGAGATCAGCCTAAGTAGTTGAACTATTGAGATTGATGCTGGTAACGTGAAATATGTAATCACTTTATAAAAGTAGTTTAAAATTTAGCGATCAATAAAATCTTTGAAAAAACCTGAATGTATTATGTCATGTTAAACGTTTTAGATAGAGGGTGCGACTAAAACACAAATATTATCAAAGAACAATAAGCAGAAAATGAATATGAATATCTCATAAATGAAAAACAATATACAATAATCAATGACAAAGATTCTGTAAGGCAAATCATTGTGCTAAAATCATTGTTGTAATAACTGCAATCTAGAGTTTTTCATTATCATCACCCTTTGTTCCTTTGTTGTTTTCTTTTATGGTGTCCGGTGTTTAGTGTTACCACATATGAGATATTCATTGTTTATTTAAATTTTCTAAATGCCTGCTTAAGATGAAAATACAGATGACATGTTCAGAACTGGGACATTTTTTCCTGCTTTATATTGATATTTGAAATTACTGTGTACTTTCCCAAATGTTATTTTATCAATAAATTCTCGTGACAAAGTCTACTCTCAAATTTCTCCCCACTGACGTCAAAATGTCGTAGGTGGATATCGCTGGATAAATTATAATTATCAGGAATTAAAGGAACCATTCGGAAACAAGACTTGTGTGACAGCTGTTTGTAACGACACTTAAGTTTGAAGAAATATTTGAACTCAGAAATAGCATAACATTTCTTTCGAAATGTTCTTTGATTTGAAGGCACTGGTTTCAAAACCGATACTCCTGTTGTTTTGCTCATTTGTGTGTTTTGGCTATGATTTTGAGTTGAAACATCACAACAATGCTGAAATACTTGCTGTTATGAAAGATGTTCGATCGAAATGTCCTGATATTACAAGAATATATAATCTGGATCATCAGTCAGTTGAAGGAAGAAATTTAACTGTTTTAGAGATATCAGATAAGCCAGGTGTCCATGAACCAGGTGAGTAACTTTCCTTTTGTTTTGATAGGCCTAGCTAGTCAATCTCCAAAAAAATTCAATATCTCAATTATAGATCTAGGAATGATTGGTTGTAAAATTGGTATTTTCATATTTTTGTATGGGAGCAAATTAAAGAATCCCAAGTTTATGATTCGGGTCGGATCGTAGGTGTACTGACAATATTCTTTTCACATTCAACATCATATTTCGGTCTAGTAAAAGATTCAACTAAGATATACACTCAATATCATAAAGGACAATTTTACATAGAAAAATGCAGTGGATATTTAGCCTTGAACTGGTTTAGTTTCTTTTTCGCTATTTTACCGGCACTTCCGTTTACCCATGCGCAGTGGAGAAAAATGAAAAAATGCAGTACCGGTACGGTAATATATGTCGATGAGGCTATAAAGCGCCAAATGAGACCTTAAAACAAACAGTTAAAACTAACTCTAAAGAGGACTCTGAAGGCAGCTGGACCTTGTTCAACATATTTCAACATATGAACATCCCTACCTAACACTAAATAAGACACTAAATTGCATATTTCACACTAGATTGTTTGTTTTGATTTTTATTTTCCTGTTGCGCATGGGTAAACGTAAGTGCCAGTAAAATAGCGAAAAAGAAACTGAACGGGTTCACGGCTAAATATCCACTTTGATAGAAAAATGCAATGCAGATAACCATGAATAGGGGATCTAAAACGGGTGCTAATGTAATATGAAATATATGAAATGAGTTGCTAGATTTAATATTTCCTGAACCTTGGAGACAGCAAAAAATTTCATAAATTTCATATTACATAAGCATGTTTGAAAGAATCTAATTATCACACAACTATCAGAGCATATTTTCTTTAAATTCCTTGCACTCTTTCTAGGGCCTTCATTTTGAGGTCAGCTTTTTTACGTCGTTCTACAAAATACCCATGCGTTTAACCAAAAAGATGTTGGTAAAACATTCATGTGATAACTAAATTAAAACTTTAAGAACAATTCTAACTGAGTCGCCAACTTCAAAGAATGCCATGTTGTCCTGTTTACATGGTGCGTGATACAGAACCCAATTTGCATAGTTATTAACCTGTTCTATGAGTTCATTTTGTTTTTATGAACCTGTGTTACTTATCACTGGGTAAAATGATCCAAATTATCAATTATTGTCCTTAGGAATTTATAATTTCAATTAAGCTTATCAATTTTCATAATCGATTATATGTCAAAGTTACATTTTCTCCATTGTACCCGTTAACAATTAGTAATCTCTTCCACATAGTTTCCCTTTAGCACATAACATACCCACAATAAACTATAATAACCGATCAAAACAAGAATATACTTCTATGATGCAAATATAACCCATGAAATTAAGAATTTTGGCATGTTTTTAATTTAGTTTTAACAGGGTTTTTTCAAATCAATCATTTTGATTGTTAATCGATCAAAATCGATAGCATGCCATCTATAATTGATCTCACTTTGGTACTCAATAACCAGCCCCTGTGTTTTGTACTATAGAACGGAACGGTTGTGTGATAAAACATATTAATGTATCTTACTTTACTGCTATACTAGTAAGATAAAATGATTTCCACCCATTTACAACACACAAAACAATTCAGCTTCAGGGGGCTTGGCACCCTCAAGGCCTCAACCCACAACAGGATATCACCCCTCCACCCCCATTTTTTTTCCTGTCCTTTGAAAACAGGTTTGTGACGCTTTGGAAATTCAAAATATGAAAGTGGCACTTAGAAATTTACTTGAGACTGCTCTAGTGTTTTCAATTGTCAAGTCAATTCAAACCTCTTAGGCATATAAACAAAATCTGTTTCAAATATTACTTTAAAGGTATACTACCACTAAATATGACGAAAAAAATTGAAATTTTTTAACTTGGCTAAAATGAGTCTTTGTTCATTAGTGGACTTGCCTGGTGTCAAAACTACTGTATACGACAGAATCTCTCTATAATCCAATAAATCCATAAAACAAAGTAATAATCCATTAAGTTAAGTAATTATTGAAACATGCTCTAGTAGCTTTTTTCAATAATTATTTAGTTTAATGGATATACTGTGTTATTCTATTCTTCAGTCATGGCAACTGGTAAGTTCAAATGTTGACCAATTTTGAGACTTTCAATTTTATGTTCATTCTAAATGTAGTATCCTGTAATATTTACATTCTACTATTACTCCCTTCAATAAAACCAGTTACCCAAACCGGCGTTTATTTTCCAATAACTGTAGTTTGTCACGTGACAATAAGGCGTATGAATACATCGAAAACGAAAACAAGGATTGACCCAAGTTTTTTTAACCTATACTCTAATCTAATTTACAATTTATTTAAATTGACAATTGTTGTTAATATTTCAATGGAATAATAAATATTTGATAATTCTATCATCCAAATAAGATTCTATTTATAGAACTATATTGTTAGGGGTGGGGCGGTGAACTTGATTGACAGATATCGGTGAATTAAGCAACAACGGTTTCGGGTATTTTTTTTACAATTAAAAAATAGAACATTTTAGCGTATTTTATCAGAAAAGATAAACCAATGTAAATATAAGGAATGAATGTGGATCTTGTTATCGTTATGGGGAAATAAACGCTGGTTTATCATGTGACAAGACATACATGACCTGCTTCCCCATAACGATAACGAGATCCACATTCATTCCTTAAGTAAATGATAAGATTGTAAGCTTATTTATTGATCCCTGGTAAAGTTTCATATTAATTATTATTTTGATTGGAAGAATTCTATTTATGTCAACACTTTCTATTTCCTGTTATTTCAAATCATTTTGATTCCTTGATCATTATATTTCTAGTTATTTCATGTTTTCAAATAAAGTCATCACGTGACTATTCTGGTAAAACAGTGGAGTTCAGGTTGAAATAACTGCAGTACCGGTAATGGTTTTAATTTTGCATGTTAGACTCTAAGAGCTTTAACAAGTCATCTTCACTCATGATTCCAGTCGATCCAATTGTAAATTGGTACAGATAATCTGGGAAAGATCAATGCAAAGAGGTTTGGCTAAGGGCCAGCTGGAAGAAAGGATCCTTAACTGTGAACCCAAGTTATTCATGTAAAATATAGTTGTTTCTTTCTTTTAAGTTTGGATACCTTATGACGAGAAGAAATACTGTCGTAACTTTTTAGAAAAAAAAACGTACAATGGTTTGCATGAAAGCTAGGTTATAGTCATGTAGAACATAGAACATAGAATGTCATAGAACATGGGTTATAGTAGGACTGTCTTTAAAATTTGTCTTGGAAACATTTGTCAGTGATAACTTTCCTTAAAACAAGTTGGCTTTACTGACACCATGGCTGGCTGAAACAACTCTTGTTGTTGTGATTTGATAACTAAACAATACTCTTATAAATTTAAATGCCATTCAAAGACTTTAAACAATACTCATCAAATGATATGACTTATTGCAAGAAAATTTGCAATTCATTATTAGTAAAAGAAAGATGAAAAATTGTAGAAATTTTGAACATGGTTTGATGTTTTCTGCGTATGGTTCTTTTCTAGTACACCAATGGTCAAAACTAATGTTGTGTGAAATTGTTTTAAATTTAGGAATCATAACACTTCTTTTGATAAAGTGACATCTTTCAATTTACATAATCATAGCATTCTACAACAAGGAATTGATAGAATTGCATGATGCCATAAACAAGTGTAAAAATGCCGGAAATTGTCACTATTAATGTGTCAGAATTACATCATTATGTCAAGAAAGAAAAAGATTTTTTTACTGAGTAGAATCATTAAACTCTTAATGAAGTGAGAAAGCTTCCTGACACATATGCAGGATTTGGGTGGACACTTAGTAATCAAAGACATTCTGATAAAATCATTGGGGAAAACAAAAAATGCCCATGGCAAAGAAGTAACACGACATATGATGAGGTCTTGGAATCAATTATCAGTTGATGCTAGGTTACGATATCCTTTAGAAAGCATCTGAAAGAGATGTGTGGATTAGTGGATCCATTAGAAGATAATTAGTGGTTATATCCCTCAGTAATAACATGGCATCATGAACTTTAATATATTGTCTATCATTTGACAGGTTATTATCATCCCTCTGTGATTTATTTCTCTTCGGAGACAGTCTTTATCAAATTTCCTATTGGTTATTTCATGTTAAAATAGCTGACTTTAATTCAAGATGAAATGAGTTTCCACCCACTGGCTTTACAATAGCATGTCAGTGCTTTAGAAACATAATTTATTATATCCATCAATCATTCTTGAATATAAGCTTATACGAGTCAAAAAATCAGAGATGAAGGTAAAGGTTACCAGTTCAACATGGTAAGCAATCATATCTATTTTGGCATCAAACTGTATGGTTAGTGTCTCAACTCAAGAACGTATATTTGTGGAAGTATTACCTAGACCTTTTTTCATATTATTATAGAACTGTGATACAAAAATAAAATATTTGTACTGTTAAAATAGTCCTCAATACATCAAATGTAGAGCGATATAGAAATACCACTGCTAAAATAGTGCTCATTACAACAATTGTAGAGTAATATAGAGATACCACTGTTAAAATAGTCCTCAATACATCAATTGTAGAGCAATATAGAAATACCACTGTAAAAATCGTCCTCAATACATCAATTGTAGAGTGATATAGAAATACCACTGTTAAAATAGTCCTCAATACATCAATTGTAGAGCAATATAGAAATTACACTGTTAAAATAGTCCTCAATACATCAATTGTAGAGCAATATAGAAATACCACTGTAAAAATCGTCCTCAATACATCAATTGTAGAGTGATATAGAAATACCACTGTTAAAATAGTCCTCAATACATCAACTGTAGAGTGATATAGAAATACCACTGTTAAAATAGTGCTCAATACAACAATTGTAGAGTGATATAGAGATACCACTGTTAAAATAGTGCTCAATACATCAATTATAGAGCGATATAGATATACCACTGTTAAAATAGTGCTCAACAATTGTAGAGTGATATAGAAATACCACTGTTAAAATAGTGCTCATTACAACAATTGTAGAGTGATATAGAAATATCCATGTTAAAATAGTACTCTATACATCAATTGTAGAGCAATATAGAAATACCACTGTAAAAATCGTCCTCAATACATCAATTGTAGAGTGATATTGAAATACCACTGTTAAAATAGTACTCTATACATCAATTGTAGAGCGATATAGAAATACCACTGTTGAAATAGTACTCTATACATCAAATGTAGAGTGATATAGAAATACCACTGTTAAAATAGTACTCATTACAACAATTGTAGAGTGATATATAAATACCACTGTTAAAATAGTGTTCATTACAACAATTGTAGAGTGATATAGAAATACCACTGTTAAAATAGTGCTCAATACATCAATTGTAGAGTGATAGAGAAATACCACTGTTACAATAGTGCTCAATACATCAATTGTAGAGTGATATAGAAATACCACTGTTAAAATAGTACTCTATACATCAATTGTAGAGTGATATAGAAATACCACTGTTAAAATGGTGCTCAATACATCAATTATAGAGTGATATAGAAATACCACTGTTAAAATAGTGCTCAATACATCAATTGTAGAGTGATATAGAAATACCATTGTTAAAATAGTCCTCAATACATCAACTGTAGAGTGATATAGAAATACCACTGTTAAAATAGTACTCTATACATCAATTGTAGAGCGATATAGAAATACCACTGTTAAAATAGTGCTCAATACATCAATTGTAGAGTGATATAGAAATACCACTGTTAAAATAGTTCTCATTACATCAATTGTAGAGTGATATAGAAATACCACTGTTAAAATAGTGCTCAATACATCAATTGTAGAGTAATATAGAAATACCACTGTTAAAATAGTGCTCATTACAACAATTGTAGAGTGATATAGAAATACCACTGTTAAAATAGTGCTCAATACATCAATTGTAGAGTGATATAGAAATACCACTGTATAGAGCGATGTAGAAATATTAAAACAGTACCTAAAAACATGTTGTTGTTACTCAGAGTTTCACGCTATGTGACTTTCAGACTGAAAATAGGTCAGATGTCTGAAGATTGCATAGTGTGAAACTCTAAATATCAACATGTTTTTCTAAGTTCTGTTTTAATATTTCTTGATCTATGATAGTTAGATTAAACTTTGTATGAGATGTGCTGTGAATGATAAGTCTACTACTAGTAATATAGACAACTATGTGGTGCTGGGTTTTAAAATGAGTTTATTTGCCAATCTAGAAATAAATTTCAATTTCAGAGCTTATAGAGATGACTTTCCTTATTTTTTAGTGTCGAATTAAACAAACTATTTGATTAATTGGTATTTCTAATGAATTATCATGTATTCTTAATCATACATGACATATATTATGTTCTTATAGAATATAATTTAGAGTTTTAACCAATCATAAATATCCATGTATGAACAGTTTGGATAAACAAAGAAGACTTTTTGTCCTTTCTCAGTCACTCATTGGAATTCTGCTGGTAATTCTCTAATAATTTAGCTAATTTGAGACATGTGAGACAAACTGATATTTTTCCAAGTCGATAGAGCACCTCTGCTTTCTATTCATATAAGTATAAGTATTAGCATTTTCATTTTCATTTTCATAAATTAAAATAAGGGAACCCATCTTTAAGACAATCATGATGATGTATTTATTTTATGTTTATCGTGCTCTAGGACCATATATAAATAATGTTATTATGTATTATAGCTCAATAACCCTGATAACTTTTAATCATTTTATAATAGTTGTTTTTACTGATCGTCTAAATCAATAAGTTTGCAAAGGAGTTACTCGCCATCTGCATTAGCGATGTTCAGATTGTCGCCGACAATAGATAATCACTTAACAGACATTGAAAGTCAAACAATGCTAATAATGAATTTCCAGTTGAAAGTCAGTGACGTCAGTGAATGATTTAATAAAAAAACAGTCATATTTTATATGTTTTGTATGGTGGTTCGTATAGGACATCATTTATTTCTTTAAATTTTGAATTAAAAAATTGGAATGTAATTTTAAAACATAATTTTGAATTAAAAATTTGTATTTTCATCCGTTTGAAAATTCTAGAATTTTGAATTGAAAACTTGAATTTCCACCCTGGTGAAAATACAAGTTTTTAATTAAAATTTGGCATTTATAACCTGGGTGTATATTCAAGTTTTTATGTTTTAAAATTATATTCCAGTTTTTTAATTCAAAATTGAAAAAATAAATGATGTCCTATACGATACACCGTAGTTTTGTGTTGATTGAAAAAATATTTTTTGTAATTACCTGCATCAAAACTATTATAATTAACAAAACAATAAAATTGATTTATAAATCCTTGATTAGTATTTTTCAACCACATTAAATCGATTACATAATGGATTATGCCCTTCTGATTATTTCAATAATCGATTATTATTTTCTTCCGATTACCCATCATCAATCCAAGTACTTTTTCCTACATCCCTAGTTGTTGGTTTTTCTGTTTCAATGGCACTGTTAAACGTATCTGTTTTAGGAGAGCCAGAGTTTAAATATGTTGGTAATATGCATGGTAATGAGGTAGTAGGTAGGGAGATATTATTAGCCTTTATGGAAGAACTATGTAGACGTTATACAGAAGGTGATGAACAAATTCAATATTTAATCAACAACACTAGAATCCATATTCTACCTACAATGAATCCTGATGGCTGGAAAAAAGCTCATGATCTGATGGAGGTAAGATCAAACCCTAGCTAAAAAGGAAATTACTGTTCTCAAACCAATAAAAGGAGAACATTCAAAATATATTGCATGGCTACACAAAATATAAGACTTGAACAAAAATATTTTTTTAAGAAAAATTTTTAAGCCAAAATTAATTGTGGTAACATTGTTTTACAGCATATGGTATGAAAGCCATTTTTTAAGTAGAAACACCATCATTTAAAGGGATTGTAAAGAGGTTTTCTAAACTTTTTATCTATATCAGGCACACTGATAGCACTAATTTGCACCATTCCAATTTTCATTCTGACTTCTGTGATTCTTGCAATTCCACTAAAACTAAAGCGTTTTATGACGTCACTAGAGGGGAGCTACCGGAAGCTGCTAGCTTCTATTTGCACAATTCTAATTTTCATTACGACATCTGTGGTTCTTGCAATTTCACTAAAACTAATGCGTTTTATGACGTCACAAGAGGGGAGCTACCGGAAGCTACTATTAATATCTATGCAGTTCCCCTCTAAAGACATCATAAAACACGTTAGTTTTAGTGGAATTACAAGAATCACAGACATCAGAATGAAAATTGGAATGGTGCAAATTGGTGCTAACAGTGTGCCTAATACAGATAAAAAGTTTAGAAAACCTCTTTACAATCCCTTTAAGTGTCAATTTTTTTTTTCTTTTCACCTTGAAAATTTAATCAGAAACCTTAAACACACCATTTTGAGCAATTCTGTATGATTTTGTCTTCAGAAAAATGGTGGACGAGCTGATTGGTTAACTGGTAGAGCTAATGCTAATGGTGTTGATTTAAACCGAAACTTCCCCAACCTCAATGAGATAATGTATGCTCTTGAAGCTGCGGGGAAAAGCAAGAACAATCATTTACAGAAGATCACCAAGGCAATGAAAGATCCTAATTTCAATGTAAGTTAACTACAATGATTATAACATAACTCAATGACAAATTATTTTAGTTTTAAAGGGACAATTGCGCCATTTTGGGGGGTTGATTTGAGTGTTGAATATATGTAAATACTATTCAGAAGTACTAGAAATGTCAGAAAATCGCATAATTCCTTTAAAATCCTTCAAAATAGGAATTTTTATTCACTGTTTCTGTATGTCTTTTCTATATATCACAGAGTATCTTATAATGACGAGTCGTCATTTTAACATTCAAATGCAGATAATTCATAATAAGGCTCAAATTTTGACGGTGAGCTGTGAACACTATTACTGATTGGCTTAGCTACGATTGTTCAAGAAAATGGTGCATCTGTCCCTTTAATATATTATTAATATTATAATTTATTTATATATATGAATGCCCAGATTTGCCAGTGCAAATTGTTACTGGTGCAAAGTCAAGTTATTGGCATCTGGCATTTTAAAATAAAATATTCTGATATCTCTGCCACTTATTTTAGTTCGTCTTGAGTTGATTCAGATCAATTACATTCAATAGAGCAAAATATGGCATGAAAATAAGTTTCTACAGATTGCTGATTTAAAAAGCATGTTTGATTTGATTACTATTTGGTCAATTTTTTAAAAAAGACACTGACTCTTCCAAAATGATCAAAATGGGCTAATCTTTAAAATGGACTGAAGCTAAGTATGCGATGAGAAACACTCTAAAGAATGTTATATTTTGGTTATAAATCACTAACTCATATAGATAAAGTCTAATTGAATTTAAACCAAACTTTCGTTCCTTTTTTTAATTAGCTTTAATTTTTGATAGCCACTTAAGTTAGGGTCTAAAGACTGGCCTCTTGAACATTTGTCAGAATATATTTCTGACCTAACCTTGCTTTAACCAATTAAATTTCTGCCCTCTCCAGCGCTGGGATTTTGTGAGAGAGTGAAGGAATTAGATTGGTTAAAGCAGGGTTCAAAAACTTATTTTGGCAAATTTTCAATAGGCCGTCTTTAGACCCTAACTGAGGTGTTTATATCAAAATAAAAGCTAATAAAATATAATAAATAGAATAAATGGAACACAATGAATAACCTGCCTGATGTTTTAAATATTGATTAACCTGACTAGTCCTTGATAATATAACAAACATGTAACAGATTCAGGGAGTGTCAATATGTTTTAATCAAAGACTATTCTTCAATAGATTAATTAGTGCCTGGAGATTAGATTGACATATTAGAATACAATAACAGACTTAATTTACATTCATTTACATCTATCATTAGTTTATAGCTACATTAGAAGTTTATTATGTTTGATAGTTAACTCGGGTAACTATTCCTAAGAGCAGTGGTTCCCACCTTTTTCAGATTTCACACCCCTGGAGTAATCATTTGAACCCCTCACACTCCCAAAACAATGGACATTCAAAACAATGTAAATTTTATAAAATTTTCAAACTAATCATAAAAATCACACATATAATAATGGATATATAATCATGCTGATTGACTGTATACAATGCACATGCTGCCATAAAACATTGAGACCCAAGCCAATTTTTCCAGGAAAATCCTCAAAAGACCCCGAAGACTAGGTTGGCTTAATTGGCTATGGCAAAAACATGCACCAGAAGTACTGGAACCATATAATATCCCCTAATAAAAAAAAAACAAAAAAAATCTTCTACAACAGTTGTCCACACCCCCAGGGGGTGAAAACACCCCAGCTTGGGAACAACAGCTTTAGAGGGATAGGTTTGCCATTGTTTGACAAATTGTATCTTAGTCTCAGAAACGCCAATTTTTTTAGTTAAACTAATGCGTGATAGTGTTCACAGTTCACCATCATCGAAATTTGAGCCCTCAAATCCATATGTGTACTGAATTATGCGCATTTGAAAGTCAAAATGATTACTCATCTTTTTCTTGAGACTCTATAAGGACATCTATATAAAAAAGGAAGTGAAATGTCTAGTTTGAGATATTTTTGAAGGGATTATGCTATTTTTGGACATTTCTAGTACTTCTGAAGACTATTTGTAAACATATTTTCAAGGCCCAAATTAACCTTTCGGAAATGCTTTTAAAGGATATTGTCATATAGAGATATACATTTGGGCTTCTTGTTCTTAATATTGTCAACAAACTGACATTAACAGTCACTTTAGTTCTTCGATATTGTTTTAGTTGATTGGCAATTTAACTAGAATATCTTCCTGATACCAGTATAGAATTCAATACATTGATATTTGTAGTTGCAACCAGAGACCCTTGCCTTGATTCATTGGATTATTCAGAATCCATTTGTCCTGTCAGCTAATCTTCATGGTGGTGATTTAGTAGCCAACTATCCATATGATGCCACTCGTAGTGGTAAAACTCAGGAATATACTGCTTCTGCTGATGATCCTACTTTCAGGTTAGTTTTCATTTTCTTAACCATCTCTTTATTACAACAGGGATTTTATTAGCAATTTGTCACATTACAAAAGGAATGGTAAGCAATTCTATCATATTTATGACAATATTGTTATTGAATTTGGTCACATTTGTTACAATATAGGGATTGTGAGCAAATTTGTCACATTTGTTACATTTGTTGCTCTATTAATTGTAAACAAATTTGTCACATTTGTTACAATATAGGGACTGTGAGCAAATTTGCCACATTTGTTACAATATAGGAATCACGCTCAAATTTGTCACATTTGTTACAATATAGGAATCACGCTCAAATTTGTCACATTTGTTACAATATAGGAATCACGCTCAAATTTGTCACATTTGTTACAATATAGGAATCACGCTCAAATTTGTCACATTTGTTACAATATAGGGACTGTGAGCAAATTTGCCACATTTGTTACAACATAGGAATCACGCTCAAATTTGTCACATTTGTTACAATATAGGAATCACGCTCAAATTTGTCACGTTTGTTACAATATAGGGACTGTGAGCAAATTTGCCACATTTGTTACAATATAGAAATCACGCTCAAATTTGTCACATTTGTTGCTCTAGCAATTGTGAGTAATTTTGTCTCATTTGTTACGATGATTACTACAATGGAGTCACAGTTTATGCATGTCAAAGATCACTCAAAAAATTGACAAGTTTATGCAAAATTTTCTTTATGGCATTCTGTATGAAATATCTGATTTCATTGCATTTCCCTATAGATCACTTGCTGCAGCCTATTCTGATGCTCACACTATAATGAGTGAACCACATGAGAAATGTGACAAGATGGGAGGTGATGATTTTGGTAAACAAGGTGGTATTACCAATGGTGGTGCCTGGTACTCTGTTCCTGGAGGTAAGATCATTCTGGAATTTTTCAATGTTTTAAATCTGGTTCCTATGATACTTTTAACTGGTCCTTGGCCAAAGCTGTTGGCAAATATTGTTGGTTGTTAGATTATCTGTACATGTTTACAGCTGGTTCAACAATTATTATTAGATGTTTCTTTGCCAGCTAGTTTTTCTACCATTATCAGGTATTTATGAAAAGAACAATTAAAATGATAATTATTATTTTCACATTGATGTGCCATTTTTTCAGGAATGCAGGATTATAATTATCTGGAAAGTAACAGTTTTGAGATTACATTGGAATTAGGGTGTGATAAATTCCCTCCAGGAAACAAAATACCAGAATATTGGCACCAGAATAAACAATCATTACTCAACTATTTATTACAGGTAAGTTCTTGGTGTAATAAAGAACTATATAAGGCAACATGTGCAAATTATCAGTAATTAATTATTGAATTCATGATTATCACATGTTCTGTTCTGTTCTGTTGTGATTATCACATGTTTACTTCTGACTCTTGTTTTGTCAGTTTTAATATTCACAGTAATTGTGAAATAAGCTTATTGAATTCTTACAGATGTTATTTTTTCCATCCATATAATGATATATAGATATGGCATCTTGCCTTGATATTCTTTATTATCTCAGAAACCACTGTTGTTCCTCTATACTACAGGCATCGTGTCCATACCACAACCCCATTTGTCATACTTTCTCGGTGCTGTCGTAACATAAGTGAGAAAAATTATGTATTCATAGATAAATATTGTCCAATCAAAATTGGCCCTACTGTATTGGTAGCAAATTTTAGCCAATCGTTATGATACTTAGTTGGGAACATGAACACAACGAAAGCAGCGTGCAATTCCATTTTTTGATGAATATGTAAAGTACAGAATTGAGTAAGATTTTCGGTAAAGAATTGAAGCCGAGAGAAAATCAAATTAATTTGGAAATTTCTTCCAAAGGGCGACAGCAAAGCGATGTTGTGTTTTGTTTACATGACCTCATTTCTGTTCTACCGATCTGATTTGTCAGATTTAAAAGCCACCAATCTCATTTCCATGCCCCCAAATTGAAGTGTAGTGGACTTAGTTTAATACATGTCAAAACCGGTATTTGTGATACGATGTACTACAGGGTGTGTAATATGCTGCCTAGTAGTAGTCTACTACATTGCAAATCTGGTTCTGCAGACAATACAGGTTTCATAAGATACAACTGGGGTGGAAAGTGTTTTGAACCTTGCTGACTGATTTTGATTTTGATGGTAATTTCCTAAGCCAATAGGAGAGTCTGGATAATCTTTAAAAACAAATTTGCTTGGCTATGGCCAACAAATCTAAAGGATTGTTCAGGTGGTAAACTAATTTTGGAAATTAGATAAGATAAAGTAGAGTACATTGATTACTTTATATATTTAGCAAGTAAAAAGTAGAACAGATATATACAGTTCCACATTATATTATATCCTTTATCTGGTTCTTTATGTGAATTCATACGATGTAGATGTCACGCTGTTCAAAATAAATAAAATGAATATAGATCTTGTTATCTTTGTCAGGAAATATACAGAATTATGTGACAAACTGAATGACTCACCAAAATCAGTTGTGTAGAGCAAATGTCACTTGATTAAAGTGATTGCAAAGAGGTTTTGTAAATTATGCATATGTATCAGGGGTACTGATATCTCCAAATCTGAGATCACACAATAGCCCTCTGCGAAAGTAAGGTCATAAAACGCTGTATTTTAGAGTAATTGCCGCAACAACAGAGGTCTGACTGATATGGGAATGATGCAAATTGATAATATAAATGTGCCTTATAGACATAAAAAGTTTATTAAACCTCCTTACAATCCCTTTAATGTGTGTTTATTTCCATGTAACAAGGAAATAAACTGATGTTGTTGAAAAATTGATTTCAAATAAACTGTTAATTCTAAAAAACTAATTGATAAAATTGAGGCATCTAGAGCAAGAACCTGATATCTAACATTAAAAATGAGACATATATATGTTTTAATGATTTACACCAGGATTTGTTACTTACTGCTATAGAAAAGTTTTGTGATAAGTTTAATCTTTAAATGCGATTATCTCTGTATTTAGTTTTTGCTGGATGTGAGCTTTTTTCTTTAGAAGCCTCCAATGTTGTATTATCTCATATGATTAAAAATAAAACTGGGAAAAAGATATATTTGGAATTAAAGATGGATTTCCTTATATTTTAGTGTCAAATTAAGCAAACTATTTTACTAATTGGTGTTTCTAATGAATTATCATGTATTCTTAATCATATCGTTATAAATATTATTGCATATTATTAAGAATTAATTAATTATGGACATGTATTTTTTCCAAGTCATTAGAACACATCTACTTTCTATTCATATAAGTTTTAGCATTTTTATTTTCATAAATGAAAATAAGGGAACCCATCTTTAAACTAAAAAGAAACAACTGGAAATGAAATGCAAAAGGGAATTTAAACTGAAAATGAGAAACAATATATGAGAGTATAACTGGAAAAAAAATACATTCATTGAAATAGATCCATATATAGAATTTACCCTTATGTAATGTAACTAGAAAGAAATTATGAGATTAAATTAGAGGGAAAAAACTACTTTCAACAAATTTTGTCCATTTTTTTTAGGTCCATACTGGTATTAAAGGCTTTGTAAAGACTGTAAAGGGTGAACCTATTAGTGATGCTGAAATTAAAGTAACCAATCTAACTAATGGACAGTATATCAACCACGATGTTCTAAGTGGTAAGTGAATGAGAGTATTACATTTGTTGAACTGGTTGTGTAAGGCTATTTATATGCTTCAGACCTTATTCCAGTGTCAGCCATATTGAATCCAGAATGAGGCTGATAACACAAGCAAGAAAAGGTGACTTTGTTTCATTATGGTGAAACTGTCACCTCAACGTCTTTATCACCTCCTTTTCTAATTCCAAAACTCAAAACTAATCATATTTTGAATCATTTAAATTATTTAATGATACTTTTAGATAAAGTTTACCTTCACACACTTCTGAGAAAGGGCAGTTTTAAGCTGACCAATGTTGACCAAGACGTCATATATAGACTATTCCTTCACATGAAGTTACCATGTTTCCAATAGAACAGTGGATATTTAGCCGTGAACCGGTTTAGTTTCTTTTTCACTATTTTACCGTCACTTCCGTTTACCCATGCGCAGTGGAGAAAAATGCGGTAATATTATCCGTCGATGAGGCTATAAAGCGCCAAATGAGACCATAAAACAAACAGTTAAAACTAACTCTAAAGAGGACCCTGAAGGCAGCTGGACCTTGTTCAACATATTTCAACATATGAACATCCCTACCTAACCCTAAATAAGACACTAAATCGCACTATTTTCCTGTTGGGCATGGGTAAACAGAAGTGCCGGTAAAATAGCAAAAAAGAAACTAAACCAGTTCACGGCTAAATATCTACTTTGTTCAAATGTTCTCAACAAATGTTCTCAACAGGGGAGGAATTTCTCCACGGGGGAAAATGGGAGGGAAATTGTTGGAATGGGGGAAAAAAAAGGGAACATTCAGCCCAAGGGTCATATTGAACTATCTCGATATGTGGAGTATAATTTTATATCTATTCATAGTTAATCAAAGTGAAATACATTTCAAAATTATTTTGGAGAGGAATAGAATTTTGAAAAACTCTTCGGGAGGAATGATCTCAATGAGGTTGAGAAGCATTGCAATAGATGATGTACATTGTGTTATGAGCCTCGCATTCGATAGTTCCAAAAGGAGGCTTTAATCTGAAAATTATTTTAAAATGATACTACGTCTTAGAATGAAAATAAAATTTAAGTTCTCAAGAATGGTCAATATGAGTATATATTCATCAGTGAACTTACCAGTTTCATAAAGTTAATTGCATATTATGGATAATTACTAAGTTTTTGGGATTTATCGGATTATATAAGGATCCTGTTATGTTATTTATGACACCAGGTATATCTATTGATGAATATATGCTCTTATTGGCCACGTTTAAAGACTTAGTATTCCTGTACAAAGAGAAGCAAATATTGAAAATGTAAAAGTTATTAGCAAATGAGGTTCTGAGTATATTATGAAACATATAAATTGTTTTGTGAAAATATTAAAATCAATCCCCTAATATTAGATTTCAAATCATTCAAAATAAAAAAAATTTCTGATAAACCAATTTTCTTTTTCTGCGTATTAGACTTAAACATGAGATTGAACATAATAACAGGTTAATGACTTCATGTGTAATCTTTTTTAACCTTTCGACCAATGATAATTGAAAATAGTAGTGAAGTATTAACTTATATAAAATGTCATCTATAAGCTTATAAAACATTAAAGGGACATCAGCTCTTTAGAAATAATAGAATAATACTTAACTTTATGTTTATTCACAATTAGTGAAAAACAATTGAAAAGTGATTTGATTTAATCCAAATTGAAGGGACTTAGGGGTCATTGATATGAGTCTTGAATATATGTAGATGATTTTCAGAAGTACTAGAAATATATGAAAATCACATAATTCCTTTTAAAATAGAAATTTCTTTTCCTATTTCTGATACTTTAGTACGATTGGTAAAAAAAAAATATCCCTTTAAAGTCAGCTGCTTTTTTCACTAAAAAATTATAAATAATGATATTGTTGATAATTAGTTTATTTAAATAAGTGTCATAAACAGCAGAAATCATAAATGGAAATATAAATAAATATTTGTTTACAGTCAAAACTGGTCACTTACCAAATATATGTTAAATGTTAAAAAATAAAGCAAGATTAAAGGATAGTGCACAAGAGAGCTCCCACCTGAGCAAAATTTCTTTGGTGTTTCCCAGCTCCCAGCTAAGCTTAGAGCTTTCGTAAACGGGTGTCGAGTCATAGACTTCTAAAAATAACTAGATCACGTGACATTTTCACGTGACTTAAAAAAAATGTCGGACGTCGACAACCCTTCGAATGATTCAGAATATGAAGTAATTTTACTTCTTCCTTTGTTGTTAAATTGGGGATATTCCGGCCATACGTCCACCAACTTGTCTTCGATAATTGCTTCAGATACAAACTCGCATTCACCGATGGGCGCAGCCATTTTTGTTTGATCACGTGCTAGCGCATGCGCCCCAGTTCAAAGTTGAAAGCTAAGAGCTTTCAAGTGCGCACACAGTAAGGTATTTTTATTCGAGGAAAAAATGATCAAACACGACAAATAATTTCCGCGAATGAAAAAAACCTTACTTAAACTCCGCGCACACGTGAGCTACAAGCTGAGCTGAGAGGCACGAATGAAATTTTGCTCAGCTGGGAGCTCTCGTTCACGCTAGCCTTAAAGAACAGAAGCATTTGATTAATAAAAGTGAAAAAGAAGGTTAATATGTCTTTAAATGTGTTTACATGTGATATTATTTCTACTTGTGTCTTTGAATAGCTGTAGTTAAACTCTATCAGATGATAAATTGAAGATTAGGATGATGATATAGTTTAGAATTATGAGTTATTTCAATGTGTTAAGTTGATATCTAATAACAGTCTGATAATCAATATATAGTTATTAACTGTAAAAGCAGATGTGATTATGTTACTCTTATAAAATGACATCTGTCTCAAATGTCAAGTATTTTGTCATGTGTTCAATTGACAATGACAAATTAATTTCTCACTTTAACTCTAGAAAAGAGAATTTTTATTGATTTTATGTGGCATTTCATAATGATTCCATTCTGATCTTAATACAATTCTTGGGATGGGATTCAGAAATCATTTAGATTTCAAGTTCTATCATGTCCCCATTCCCCACAAAATAAATACATGTACACTTTTGTACTGGAAGTGATATTTATTGATTTTAAGGGAAATTCGATGAAGTCAAACTCTTTTGACGAAACGTTGTGTATTAAAGGAGGGTATTTGATGTCTTATGATTTATTACACATATTCATGTGGGCGTATAATAAGAAATAATGGAATAAATTTTAAAAAAACTTTTTACTTTGCTCAGACGATAGGTGATATATTCCAATTCTCATAAAAATAATGGAAAAAATTCAAATTTTTCTTTTATTTATTAGTGAAACATTGACAGAATCATCATATATCATTGATGTATGATATTCTTGGTAATATTATTATGTTTTGTTTATAAATTGTAGTTGAAGATGGTGACTATTGGAGATTATTAATTGATGGTTATTATAAAATAACAGCTAATAAAACAGGCTACCATCCAGTTAGTAAATGTATCATTGTCAACAATCAACCATTTCAAGGTGCTCAGAGATTAGATTTTACTCTCATCTCGTCTGAGAAACCAGTTACTAACAATATTAATGATCATTGTGTTGAAATCACTGAACGTGCTCGGCTTGATGCTCAAGAGGTAAGTCAAATGTATAAATAGCTCTATTACCTGTAACTTTTCAGAATTGAAATGGACCTCTCCACCATAACTAATGACCTAAAATCGGCAAAGGTATGTCAGGGCACTCGGGTGACGCCTTAATTATAGGTTTGCCGTTGAAAAGAGGTAAAATTGGTTGAAAATTACATTGGGCGAAATTTGACTAGTTGTTGGTTGAAGAGTCAAGCTGAATACCCTGGCAGTTTTGACTTCTCTAAGTGTCACACTTTTTATGTGTGCGCCTCTATTAAGAGGGACACCAAAATTATTTAAAAAGTTTACGTAAGGTTTGTATATTCGTTATGATTTTTGGAAGCTGTGAAAAAACTATTTTACAGATTTAAGTAAAATAAACGCCTCATTGTAGAGAAAATTGTCTCCTAAAGATTTCAACTAGATATAACGAGCCAAACTTCAAAACTAGGTCAAACTGCTTAATGAAATAGTTTTTGATAATGAAAACTTTTAACAAAAATGTGGAGTACATCTTTAAGAAACAATTCTTCAAATCATAGATTGCAAGTGTAGTAACTTGTAGTAATACATAACAACTATTGATACAGTTTAAAAATATATATAAAATTAATTATAAACAAGGTAATATATATATATTGACTGTTTTTATTGCAGGCTAGAGAAGGTGATGAGATGTTGATGAATGAATTAAAACAGACCTTGTCCAGTAAAGATTGGCCATTGATACTTCAACTGATCTCTGATTATCAATATCGTGAAGATTAGATACATCACTATACTCTCAGTTATATACATCTTTATATATGAAACAGGAAATTAACCAGAGGGTAAACTTACTAAAATAATTTAAATCATTAAAACTTAAGAATTTGTACTAATGTACATAAAAAATGGAGAATTCCAATCAGAAATATATTACTGGGCAATACAATCAAATCAGAAGCCGTTATTTAGTGAAAAAATTAGATTTGGCAAATATTTTTATGTAAGAGAATTCAGTTCAACACTTTTTCAACATTTAGAACCCTTTATGTTAATACTTTAATCAAAAAGCCCATGTTAATTTCTTGTTTTTCAAACACATTCAGGGGTGTATTTAGGGGAAACGGGGTATGGTGCATTCCTTGGGGAAAAATATTGAAAAATTTATTCTATTTTTACTGCCGAAATCATGTCTGATGCATTCTCCACCTTCCTTGGTTGGAAAATTTTCCCAGAAGGAGGCCCACCTAACCCCCCATTGCGGCTAGTATCCTCTAAAATCTAAAAGGGGAGCTGTGGTGCTTGGAAGGTCCCCGTCAATGTACACTGTACACATTACAGTACCACAGTCAAATTCGTAATTTTCTGGACGCATGTGTCTTTGTCTTTTTTTCTCTTGGGCAAGACAATTTTGAGTTTTTGGTCATAGTTTTTAAACAAAAGGCCATCTGTATTTCTGAAATAGTAAGAATGATTATGAGAAAAGTTGGAGAAAAATGTAGAAAAATAAATGTTGTGTCAAAGTGTTAATCTATGGGTGTGTTCAAGTCTTAAGAAAAAATGTATTTTGTGCACGGCAGTTTAAACCTATTATGATAAAGATCTGTTTATTTGGGTACCTGTTAGTACTGGTAATCTCCAGTCATACCACGATACGTACAATAAGATAAGATACGATACGATACCAACAATTTCAGTCAAGTCAATGAGAAAAATACGTGAATCCATTCCCTACTTTTTATGGAATGAGGTATCGTCAAGTATTGACACAAGACCTTGTGATACGATAGGCGTATACTGGTATGTCGATTCACCGATATATCATACCAGTACTAGTACCTTTAGATATCATTGATTATTAAAAGACTTAAACACACCCAAGTCTCTTGGTGTATATTGCACAACTATTATTGTGTAGTTTCCCTTTCCTATTGCACTAATATCTATTGAAATCCATTCAGTATGTGTTAAATCATAAAACCTTTCTAGACATGTCGTTCTTGTTGACTTTAATGAATCTGAATTTTCTAGTTGTGACATGGCAAGATGTAAAATATATTTGTATTATTATGATAGCTATCTTTTATCCTAGTCATCTTAAGAATCTCTACAGTAGTTTATTCCACGAGAGTCTCAAATCACAACTTAAGTCTGGACAATTTTTTTTGTCTGTGATTTACTTCACTTTTTATGCTAAATCTTTTCTGAGCAAAACAAAATGTTCTTTGAATTTTTTCTATATATTTTTTTTTTGAGAATTGGAATATCAGCCTCAAAATAGTATTGTTTGTCTTAGAATGTCTTTGCGTTGATAAAAATATATATTTTTTGGCAAGTTTACATTGAAAAGAAACACATTTCCCTCCAAGAAATTTCAACCAAAAAAGGCTGCCATTCCAATTCTTTTAAAAATAATGGAAAAAAAAAAACTTTTCACTTTGCTCAGACAATATGATGTGTTCATCTTGATACCTGATTACAGCATGATTTATTCTAGTTTATTAATCATTTAATTTTTATTTGTTTTTGACAGTCGTCTTCTTGTAGCATACTACTGCATTTGACAGTAGTCATTTTGTAGTATACTGCATTTAACAGTAGTCATTTTGTAGTATGCTGCATTTGACAGTAGTCATCTTGTAGTATGCTACATTTGACAGTAGTCATCTTGTAGTATGCTACATTTGACAGTAGTCATCTTGTAGTATGCTGCATTTGACAGTAGTCATTTTGTAGTATGCTGCATTTGACAGTAGTCATTTTGTAGTATGCTACATTTGACAGTAGTCATCTTGTAGTATGCTACATTTGACAGTAGTCATCTTGTAGTATGCTACATTTGACAGTAGTCATCTTGTAGTATGCTGCATTTGACAGTAGTCATTTTGTAGTATGCTGCATTTGACAGTAGTCATTTTGTAGTATGCTGCATTTGACAGTAGTCATTTTGTAGTATGCTGCATTTGACAGTACTCATTTTGTAGTATGCTGCATTTGACAGTAGTCATTTTGTAGTATGCTGCATTTGACAGTAGTCATTTTGTAGTATGCTGCATTTGACAGTAGTCATTTTGTAGTATGCTGCATTTGACAGTAGTCATTTTGTAGTATGCTGCATTTGACAGTAGTCATCTTGTAGTATGCTGCATTTGACAGTAGTCATTTTGTAGTATGCTGCATTTTACAGTAGTCATTTTGTAGTATGCTGCATTTGACAGTAGTCATTTTGTAGTATGCTACATTTGACAGTAGTCATTTTGTAGTATGCTGCATTTGACAGTAGTCATTTTGTAGTATGCTGCATTTGACAGTAGTCATTTTGTAGTATGCTACATTTGACAGTAGTCATTTTGTAGTATGCTGCATTTGACAGTAGTCATCTTGTAGTATGCTACATTTGACAGTAGTCATCTTGTAGTATGCTACATTTGACAGTAGTCATCTTGTAGTATGCTACATTTGACAGTAGTCATTTTGTAGTATACTACATTTGACAGTAGTCATCTGTTATAGGTCCTAGTAAGTTCAACTTGAGAAATTATCTGATGGATAATAATGGAATAGATTCTACTTAACTTCTCTGTGAATGTCAATAGTTACTTAAATTGTTATATACATCTTTATATATAAAACAGGAAATTAACCAGAGGGTAAACTTACTAAAATAATTTAAATCATTAAAACTTAAGAATTTATACTAATGTACTTAAAAAATGCAGAATTCCAATCAAAAATATATTACTGGGCAATACAATCAAATCAGAAGCCGTTATTTAGTAAAAAAATTAGATTTGGCAAATATTTTTATGTAAGAGAATTCAGTCCAACACTTTTTCAACATTTTGAACCCTTTATGTTAATACCTTAATCAAAAAGCCCATGTTAATTTCTTGTTTTTCAAACACATTCAAGGGTGTATTTAGGGGAAACGGGGTATGGTGCATTCCTTGGGGAAAAATATTGAAAAATTTATTCTATTTTTACTGCCGAAATGAAATAGATTCTACTTAACTTCTCTGTGAATGTCAATAGTTACTTAAATTGTAGCTGGCAGCAAATTTAATAAACTATATTTTTTATTTCAGTATTAATAATCAAAATATATTCATGCCACTTCTATAAAATCTTCCTATTGTTATGTTTGTTAAATTTTCTCTTGTCAATTATGATTCCTTTTGCAGGGGTGGATCTAGTCTGAAACATCTGCCTCCATTCCAACCTCAGGTGCGGAAAATCCCCTCAAAATAGTTTTTCTGTCTCTACCAGCCAACAGTAATGAAATAGCTATCAGAGGATAGAAAAGGGAGGATCTAGGGAGATCTTAGGCTGAGAAAGATTTGTAAATAATTGATTCATCATAAAGGCATTAATGACTCTTTCAAACCAGCCAATTTAAAATGAAGATCTGACCTTGATGGTTTTTTACATCCACCCCTGTCTGTTTATGTGATAATCATTTTCATTATAATTAAAATTGATAAAATCATTATATGCTCAAATGATCATGAAGTTTAAATCAAAAAGTAATAATTTAAATGATGCATTCCAAACCAGCATATTTGCTATGCAATGATCTGGGTTTAAGGTTTCAAAAAATCAATGGTAATCAAGCTAAATTTAGTACTTATTTTGATTTAAATATTCAATCCTGGTGAACATTTTATGAATCAAATGGATAAAGGCTGTATTATTATTATTAAATATTATTACAGGTATTTTTTTTATGTTGTCTTGTTATATATCTTGTATTTAATGCACTGTTTTCTCTTCACAAACTTCGAGGGTAATATGAAAAGGCAGAAGATATTTGTCACATCTCTGATATTATTTATGAAATGTCTCTATTTTGAGCAGTTCATCATATTGTGAAGAGTCAAATATTTCAATTAGTATTTTGTTAAAACTAAAACTTTATGCTGGCTATGTAGTGCCGAAATTGGCACTAGTTTCTGTGAGGTCTGGTTATTAGCATTGGTAGAAATTGTCTTGAAACAGTTTCTACCATTTTAAGTGACTTGCATTTACTAGTTTGAATAGGAAGTTATGGGGAAATCAGAGGAATCAAAGTTCTTTGGGTTTGAGTCTTCACGGCATTTAGTTTTTTGATGCCGCAGCAGATAAAGTTTTTAACAACTGCTTTCATAGCCAGCATAAAGTTAATATCTTAATGTATTTATGTTATATTGTTATTAAGCAGCTATTAAACAATTGTTTAAATAAAGCAGATTGTGAAAATTGTTATCCCAGTGCAATAAAAAGTTTGTTTTGAATCTGTATTTTTTAGTATATCAAATTTTCAGAGCTTTCTCATACCTGATTTCACTGTTTGGTTAAAAGGGATTGTAAAGAGGTTTTCTCAATTTTGTATGTGTATCGGGGACACTAATAACATCAATTTGCACCATTTCTATTTTCAATCAGATGTCTGTGTTGGCTGCCATTCCAGTAAAATAAGGTGTTTGATGATGTCACTATCGCGATGGGGCTTATGTGATAAAGCCTATTTTGCGTTTAGTGACGTCATCAGAAGCTTAGATTTAGTAGAATTGCAGGAACCACCGATGTCCCCATTACAAAATTTTGAAAACCTCTTACAATCCTTTTAAAGTAAGAAAGAAAGAAACAACTTGGGTTCACAGTTAAGGGTCCTCTCTACCAGCTGGTCCTTGGCCAAACCAACTGTGCTATGGAACATCATGCAGAGACATTCATGGGTGTTTTTGTTCATTTCTTGTGCATGTGTATACAGGTGATGATAGTCAATACAGAAATAATTTGTGTGAATGGAAGACAAATTGTCAAGATAGATCAATTTCTTTATCTCATGATTTGACACTATTCAGTATGGTAATCACGGCAATTATTGTGATCATTGTATTGAATGTACAAGATTTTTCAACCCTCTGTGTCATATCACAAGATAAAAACAAATAATAAAATAGAGTAGTGCTCGGCATGAGAAGATGTAATTCTGCACATTAATTAAAAAGCAGGCATCTTAACCCACAGTCTAATAACAATTAGACCTAACTTCCGTTTGCATTTTATTAGTTTTGTTTCCAATGATTTATTACCTGTTAGCTTTAACACTGTCCTTTTTGACTTTTCATTCTGTTAACCTTTGCTTGACCTCTGTTTTTATTAGACTAGCTTATCAAGTCTGCTTATCTAATAAGCCTCGGAATGCACCTATTGTTCATGTCACATTATCCTGTCACTGGAAAGGGCAGCCACATTATTCGTTAAAACAGAGGTCAAGCAAAGGTTAACAGAATGAAAAGTCAAGAAGGACAGTGTACAAATTTAATAGCTAATAAAACATTCGAAACGAAACTAATAAAATACGAACAGAAGAAGTTAGGTCTAATTTTCATTAGACTGATCTCAAGCCAGGACTTTCCATTGCAATCTGTGTGAAGAATGACTCAAAAATATAAAACACATGTATATAGTTTCTTACAAAAATATATTTTATTATATCTATATGACAATATGTTACATTCAATCAACAACAATCAGCATTCAAAAATATGAAATAAAGAGATTATGGCCCAAATATATAAATAACATCTCATATAGAATAGCATTAAAATCAGGATGTTGCATTCTTGTTTGTTCTGAGGGTTACTCTACCTGCCTTCGATGATCTGAAATTGTCTGGCATCTCTCGTTTTCATGATGATATACCTTTCAACCAATTAAATTTTCTGCCCAATAAAACTAATAAAGCAAACCTGATAAAACACAAAAACCCATTTTAATCAGATTTATAGAGCTACTTGACATATTGAAAGGCAGTGAGGGTCATTAAAGAATCTTAAAAGAATATTTCATTTGACAACTAAATATGTCAATAATCCAAGGTAATGGTGACTGATCTTAAATTGCAGAATTAAATACTGTCAAATTTCAGATTTCTGCATATTTTGGATTTACTACGGACCAACTATAATTTCAATGTTTTCTGTACCAATTAACTAGACTAATTTACTCAAAAATCATCAAAACTAAAACTAATTTAATTTCATATATTAACATGTAAATAAGAATATTACAGACATCTAAACCAATGGATATGAAAACTATTTTATTTTGTAATTTTTAAAAATGATAAATAACTGGACATCTTGGGTCCCATTCACAGAAACTTAAATAACTTAATTTTATTAACATTCAGAATTTAAGGCGCTTGAATATAAATCTATTTCCATAAAAGCTGTAAGTCTGGAAATCAATATCCTCTTCCATTATAAATGGTTATCTGTACTAATCCCAATTCATTACATTTAATCCTAGCTTAATCCACATTCAATTTGTATTTTGATTATTGAACCTACATCTTTCTGATAAAGGCAGTATAATTAATATTTTCAATGGTTTGCAAGTCTATATTACTATTAAAATATGTATTTAGGTATAAAGATATAAATTTAAAGGGAAGTCTGATTTTTTAAGTAATGGTGCTCACAAGAGCGGTCTTGGTCGGAGATTTTTGTCGCCGATTAAAGTCCAGAATAAAATCTTGCATGTGCTTCCACGACAAGATTATCGTGTCCCAGACAGGATTTATAATATCAAACAAGTGTGATAATTGTCTTCAATAGTTTTATCGTTTGCATGACAGACCGTTATTATCCAATCAGAATCATTTTCCTTTCAATAGCATGATCCGCATGTGATTATCAACATGGTGGAAAACGACCAACTGAAAATTTTTGTCTCGTCATCTGCCCCTGCCAGTCACCGAAACTCCTGACAAGACTATAGTCGGCGACAAAAATCTGCAACCATGATAGCTCGTTGTAACTTTATGACACCAGGTAAGTTCACTGATGTCTATATACTCATATTGACCATTCTTGAGAACTTAAATTTTATGTTCATTCTAAGACATAGTATCACTTTAACAATCATACATGCTCCTAAGCACAAATAATCCAAGTCTAGAAGTGCAGTTCTACTTGTCAAACTTCAGTAGGGATGCAGTCTGAGGATCGCACATCGTGTTCTAATATTTTTGCATCATGCATTGAACAATTATCAATACTTCTTTAGGCCACAATCAAATTCAATTCATGTTTAAGGCCCATCTGGTAGACCTACAGCATGGCTGTGAAACCTCAAAAATATACCACACAAAAAATGTTTCTGTACACTAGCAATTACACCCAAATCACAGTCTATAGGATTATCCAAGATTCATAGTTTTCTGTGAAAAGAGTTCTAAGGTAACACTAGAAAGAAAAGCTGGTACACTGTCTTGTTGGACTAGATATAAATCTATTAATTCTTGTAGACCTTCTGAAAAATCTGTTCCTAACATCTGTATATCACCCTCTGCTGTTTGCTGGAAAAAATACAAATTTACAAAGTTTTTTTGAGAATTTTTTTAGGATTGGAAAATGGAAATGACCTATACAATTTTAATCTAATTAGGTAATTAAGATTTCTTTGATTAAATTTCTGATTGAAATAAATTTTACTTAAGATTTTATTCACAGGCCCATGATTTTACTTTTAATTTAACTGCAAATTTAAAATACAATGTCTTACAAATCATATTGATCAATTCTAATTTTTGAGGTGGGAATATATTCAAAGGCAAACTGATTAGGCAATCCCAATCAAAGTTGATGTTCTTAGACAACAATGCCTATTGCCTGAGGAAATAAGAATTGTAATAGCAGCATCATAAAGTATTGTTAGTCTTGTGATGATAAAAAAATTAACATAAGCACACATTATGTCTTCAAAATTTGTTTTTACAGAGACCCATTTTCAGTCATAATGTGGGAATTTTTGGTTGAAATTTCTGGCAGAGTAATGTGTTTCTTTTTAAAATAAATTCAATAAATATTTTACTTTGCTCAGACAGTAGCCATAGATTAATTCAAGTCTACCTGAAGGAAATAAATGGAGATCTCTTGACTTACCTGAAAGAGTAAGAAATCTTTAAGAGATTGAGCATAGATACTAGTGAGTCTATATTGGTTACTGCTAGTAATGTCTATTTTATATCCTGTAATCTGACAACACACTTCACGAAACTCTTGACTAGTTTTCTTAAATGCTTCCATTAATCTCTTATTCTTTAATTCTTCACTTTTAACTAATGCCTTCATTTCTGTTAGAATAAAACACATTTCTCTTGTTATTTATTTTCTTATTTCTAATAATATTTTATCATCTAATTAGAGTAATTACATAAAGTATGTCTATTTCCGTGGATTCCTGATTTTTATGTCTAACACGTCATTCGTGATCTGATGCAAATGTTATGCAACACATATTCTAGGTCATTCCAATATTCATCCAATCAAATGCTCTGTTCAATTAAAGATTAACTGCCTACATGTAATGAATTTTGAGATACTATATATTCAAAATTTAATTGAACACCATTTAAAGAAAAAATTTGTGAGATCATGAATGGCAAGTGAAAAAACCATATAAAAAACATGAAACGAATATAGCCTCAATTTGACTGATTTTAAAGGCTTCTGTTTTAAAAAAGTAAAATAACACAGAAACCTTCGACTTGTTTATTAGGTGAGGGATGTTGTAACTGTGTTTCAACTTGTTCTGTAAGATCTTCAACTTGTCCTTTACTAGACTCTAATATTTCAACACGACGTCTTAACTTCTCATTCTCACTACGTAATACTTCTAGATTATCTTCCCTTACTTTCTGAGCTCTAGCAGCTGGATTCATGGTAAAATGAAGTATTTTAGTTTTCGTTGGATCATATTCACCCTTGAAATAAAAAAAATAAAAACAGATATAATGGCCAATGACCAGTTTGCGAGTCAAAATGACCCCTTTTGTGATTCAATATTTCCTATGATTTGCCGAAATTGAAATTTTAACTCGACCATCTTTGCATCAAATCAAATTGTGTATTTTTCGTGAGAATTTCATGCCAAATCTAAAAAAATAATATGGCAACTCTGGGCTATCTTTAAAATCTTCAGGATCTAACATCAATAGCAAGATTGATGTGAGCAACACTGGAACAATTAAAATTGCTACCGAATGTGAATCAAAATTTAACTTGATTAGCCTAAACTGAAATTTGGTGTGATAAATTACTGATCTAAATTAAACCCAGATAATGAACCTAATATATTGAAATATCTTTAACAAATTTATCGATTTTCTAGTTGAATAGATGTTCAATTGTTAAAAAGAGAAGATCATTAGTCTAAACACTCTATACATTTTCTTAGAATATAAGGTGAGCTTATTACTATTCAACCCCCAGTTTTCATTCGATTTTAATGGATGAACAGTTAGTTTGATGAGCTATTACTCTATCACACAAGGCCTTGCCACAAAGAGACTCTTGCTATTTTACAATGTTTAATACATGTGAAATATAATAGCCCACCTGTAAATGTCTTTGTTCTAATCTTGTTTCTAAAACAAATTTTTCTTCTTCTAATTTCTTTACTTGAGTTTCTAATGTTATAACATTTTCTCTAAAATATAAATATCAGTAAATAATGTTATAACATTTTCTCTAAAATATAAATATCAGTAAATAATGTTATAACATTTTCTCTAAAATATAAATATCAGTAAATAATGTTATAACATTTTCTCTAAAATATAAATATCAGTAAATAATGTTATAACATTTTCTCTAAAATATAAATATCAGTAAATAATGTTATAACATTTTCTCTAAAATATAAATATCAGTATATAATGTTATAACATTTTCTCTAAAATATAAATATCAGTATATAATGTTATAACATTTTCTCTAAAACATAAATATCAGTATATAATGTTATAACATTTTCTCTAAAATATAAATATCAGTAAATAATGTTATAACATTTTCTCTAAAATATAAATATCAGTATATAATGTTATAACATTTTCTCTAAAATATAAATATCAGTATATAATGTTATAACATTGTCTCTAAAACATATATATCAGTAAATAATGTTATAACATTTTCTCTAAAATATAAATATCAGTAAATAATGTTATAACATTTTCTCTAAAATATAAATATCAGTAAATAATGTTATAACATTTTCTCTAAAATATAAATATCAGTATATAATGTTATAACATTTTCTCTAAAATATAAATATCAGTAAATAATGTTATAACATTTTTTCTAAAATATAAATATCAGTATATAATGTTATAACATTTTCTCTAAAATATAAATATCAGTAAATAATGTTATAACATTTTCTCTAAAATATAAATATCAGTAAATAATGTTACAACATTTTCTCTAAAATATAAATATCAGTATATAATGTTATAGCATTTTCTCTAAAATATAAATATCAAATATAAATATCAGTATATAATGTTATAGCATTTTCTCTAAAATATAAATATCAGTATATAATGTTATAACATTGTCTCTAAAACATATATATCAGTAAATAATGTTATAACATTTTCTCTAAAATATAAATATCAGTAAATAATGTTATAACATTTTCTCTAAAATATAAATATCAGTATATAATGTTATAACATTTTCTCTAAAATATATATATCAGTAAATAATGTTATAACATTTTCTCTAAAATATAAATATCAGTATATAATGTTATAACATTTTCTCTAAAATATAAATATCAGTAAATAATGTTATAACATTTTCTCTAAAATATAAATATCAGTATATAATGTTATAACATTTTCTCTAAAATATAAATATCAGTAAATAATGTTATAACATTTTCTCTAAAATATAAATATCAGTA